AAACTTTTTCATTTTGCCGACGCCTATGGCTACGGCGACGCGCGCATACCAGAAACCGGAGACTTTTTTGGGCCTTATATAAGCCTTTTAGTCGTCAGAAAAAAACGTCTTTTTAGTCGTTGTTTGGTTTTACATGTACGACCAAAATAAGACCAAAATAAGAAGTCAACATTTTACGTCCACAAGACGTCTTAAAGACGTCTTGTGCCCACTGGGACTTGCGACCCATAATTATGAAACGCTAAATTCTAGCCATCTTTGAACGCCCATGTTAATTAATAATTGAGTATTAATACGCTCCGTTACAATACTGTTTCCTTCATAATTGTTTATTTTTTAATGTAAATTTTGTTGTTTGGTTAAGTCTGTTGTCGTTATTCAAACAATTATTTTTACATGCTTGAATGATTTCTATAAAAGATGGCCATGCACTGGCGTAAAATGGGGGACGGGGACCGGCGGGGGCACCCCGGCCCTCTTTTCGCAAAATAAAATGGGAAGGGGAAAACTTGAAAGAATTGTTTTCAACTATATAAAAAAAACAATTAAGTGCATCTTCCAACAAAGAAATTAAAACCACAATTCCCTTCTGAAGTCAAGTTGTTACAGTCAGCTAGGGTTTGGGTTATAGCTTTAAAGCTGAACAGTTTTTGTTTGTTGGTTGGCTTTTTCCTTCATTTTGTCACAGACGATTCAAGTTTGGATTGATCCTGTTCATCGGTGGAGCTATTTTCGGTGCTGTGTTCTGTTGCTGTGCCTGTTACCGCCTGTTTCGCTTCATGGGTGCCTGCGGGGGTCGAGATCCCGAGTCAGTGGCGCCGCGCTACGAAGTGCGTCGGGCCAACATCATCGTGCCTGCTGCTGCTGAGACGCCGCTCCAAACGGAGGCAATGTTGAAAGCGCCCCCATCGTCCGAAGATGGTCCAGAGGTCAAAGAGGGCACCCTTGACGAGTAGGACGCAGATGCGCATGACAAATAGGGGTGCGGTGCACCCCAGTACATAAATTCCCATAGACTACAGTGATAAATTTACTCAGAACTCTCACATAGATGTTCAGGCTGCACAGAAAAATGATGATCAACATATCATCGTTCACTTTCTTTCAGATTTGTGGTGAGTTGACCGTTGACTTTTCGAGAAATTCTCACCCAAAGAAGACCACCCCTAAAACGAGTGATATTTTCCAAAATGGAAAAGTAGCCATCTTGAAATAGGATCCCTCCACAACATATATAGCGCCTCTTTCGGGCCCAATTGCATAAACAATGCTCAGAATTTGAAGCCCAAAGTCAAGTCCGGGCCGGCCAGAGGCGCATTGCCATTATCGCTTCAATTCCCCAATACCATAATGACTCTCAAAACTCCCTTATATAGAAGAATTTGAGTGTATAACTTTTATTCATTAGCTCGGCGGAGGGATTTTCGGCCTATTTACTGGGGTTCACCCCGACTTGTCTATTTAAGATGTCTATTGCGCATGACCGTGCTCCCGGTGCCCCCCCCCCCCTTAATGCCGGCTCGCAAGTCATCGTCTATCTAACTCGCACTCTATATACTGCAAGTTCGGATGTTCTGTTTGCCTTTTTAAGTGCATAATTTCCACCGCGCTCGACTTGTACTGATGAAACCAAGCAATGTAAAAAAAAAATTGATTTGAAATGGAAGACATTTTTGTTATAAAAGATTTTGGTGTTTAGAGTAGAAGAAAAATAAATGTAGGAATAAAAATACCTCGTGTCTCATTTGCCATTTTCTGTTGTTCTCCAGTACAGTCCTTAACATATCCCCATTTTGTACATTTTAATCAACATTTGGCGGAAACCACAAGTGATATACAATGCAGTGGGCCAACAAGACTGAAAATAAGAGGTCCGACTTTTTATCTCGCAAAAAAGGTCGACATTTTGCACGGTGCCGTGAGAGTTTTTCTGGTCGCATGTAGAGGGCCAGCCGCGTGTCCTTTTTTGCACCTATCTCACTGACTGGCTGACTCATTGCTGAGGGATGAGACTGTCAAATGTGCCACAGGCTGATTGAAGCTGCAAAGAGCCTGGGCAGTGCTCTCGTATAGGGTTGCCCCGTAACGTCAGTGAATGGGATAAACCCAGCCCACTGTGTAGAACGGTGCCCAATTTAATGGCTCTGCTAACCACAGAATTCCGTGCTTACGCTCACCATGCTGTGCTAAACGGGCTAGCACGGCAATAATCTGCAGCAGGGCCCAATTTCATAGAGCTGCTTCAGCAGAAAATTTGCTTAAGCACGAAAAAACATTGCTTAGTAAAATTAGGTTACCGGCCAAAACTCCATGTGATGTACCTTGCTTGTGACTGGTATTTAGCAGTTGTTTACTTAGCATAACAATCGCATGGAGTTTTGGCCGGTAACCTGATTTTATTAAGCAACACGTTTTTGTGCTTAAGCAAATTTTGTGCTTAAGCAGCTCTATGAAATTGGCCCCAGCTAATTAACCCGGTAAGCCCAGGATCCTTAATTACGGGATGTACGCATGCGCACAAGCCAACATTCCTCGCTCGGTGAAATACGCTTACCGTAAGCACGGACTTTTCTGCTACATTAAGCAGCTAGCTAGGGATTTTTCACTAATTGTAAGCGGCAGAGCCATGGCCCAGATGCATGGATAGACTTCCAGGGAACAGTGATACTTCTGAATCAAGAGCCCACAAAATTACAAATGTATTGAACACATGTATAATTTTGTGGGCTCTGGGATCTGCAGGCTTGCCTTTGGCTTGTTAACATTTAGATGAATTTATTTACGCGGCTTCCAATGCGTATGGATTTGTTTTGGTACTTATTTGATGCCACATGCAAACGACGGACACTTTTGACTATAACCGCAGCAGTTCCGGACTGTGACGGTTGGTGGCGCTCTATATTGTGAAACGCTGGGGAAGGGGAACAGGCTCAACCTCGTTCCCATGGTGTTCCCGCGGTTGGAGGTTGGAGGCTTACAGGCTCCAATTGAACTTACCTTTAATCGACCTTTGACAAATTTACTCTCAATTGGCAAGGACGTTTATAAAGAGCATCAAGGAAGCCGGAACGGACGTACATTAGTATGAAATTACCCTTCTCCTGCTAAGGCAGAGAGGGAATCCTTAGCCTGGCTCATCTTGAAATTAACCCTGTTAATTACCATCTAAACTTTTTGGGAGACAAAACAACCAGGCTAGTATGACTAAGAGGTAAGCTTGTGCTTGTGACTGTATCATTGCCCACCTAGCCTGGTGAGCCAAACATAAAGTCACAGCTGAACTGCATCCTATATTATCAATAGAAAAAAACAGAGTGACAAAACCGTGTGGATGCCACGCTACGTATTTCAAGTTATACGAATTTCGTTCTAAATACATAAAGTAACGTGTGTAACTTTTCAACAAAACTCAACTCTAACTAGGAAGCAGACTCCCCCACCAAGTTTTGATTGATTGCAAAATCGTCACCATAATCAGTCTAGAGGAAAACTTATTTGAAGTAACGTTCTACTTCCGAAATTCTTCTCAGTCGAGCTGAAGATAGATATGCAACATTTCCTGAACTCTGAAGAAAGCAGGGTGATTTTACATCATGGCGGATTCTGAACATTGTAAAAGGGAATACTTTGGGAGCGTTTGCTAGAGCCCAAAACATCTGAACTTCATACGACAATCATCTTTCTACTATATCCTGCATTTCACAGTTCACCTATATTGTCATCGGTAAGTTTAAGTTTCGATTGTCTCAGAATTAAACAACTGTTTATCAAACGAAACTGAAATGACACGCAAACATCAGCTCAGTTACACTAATACTGTTGTTGACTTGTTGAACTGCATTATTATAAGGCCTCGAATCACGTGCCTCCCGTTTTAACCCTAAAAGGGACGGGGCCGGAATCTGCCCCCCTCAACTTTTCCGCAATAGCTTTGAAAAAAAATCTTCGGGACCCGGGCTGTTATGACTTTTTAGCCTCGAGCCTTGCGCATCATTTGATACCAAAAACCTAAAAATCCGACCGTGGGTAGCCGCGCAGCGAAAAAACATTCCGGCGCTACGCGCACGCGCCGTGAAAACTGAATTTTCCCATATACGTAGTGTACACAGAGCAGAATTCCACAATTCCACAACCCTTTAACCTACACTCATGAAATTTCGGATGTTTATGATGAGTTGCCTGATGCATGTACCGAGTTTCAAAATTTTTCGTCACTCGCTGGCCGAGATCTTAGGGGGGAGGGGTCGGAATCCGCCCCCCCCCCGGCTGAGAGATGGTCAAAAAACCCGGCTCTTTTAGGGTTAATCTTTCATTTCCACTATATTTCCCCTTAATAACGTACTTAATGTATATAGTGATTGTATTCTTGTTGAAACGAATGATGGCATTTGTAATACCACCCAGAGGTTAATGGTTACATGAGCAGTTTGAATTAAAGATTTCTTTTCTGTAACGGTTAGAGAAAAGATTTCTTTGATAGCCACGATAATACACAAAACGCAGTTCAATTATTAAACACGAGAGCCTTTCATTGAAACAGAACTCCGGTCATTTAGAGATAAAGAAAACGCTTAGAAACAATTGATTTCCATAATCATAATTGTATCGATTTTTGTTCCTTTTTAATTTGACAGTCATTCTAGATAGTGCTTGGAGTACTGCGATTGAGCTGCTTAACAGACGAACTTGCAGACACCATTTGGCACCGCTTAAGTACGTGTTTGTTCTCGGAAGATGCCGTGGCACAGTACGTAAGAAATTATTTAATTCTAAGCTATGGTCCATAAGCTGCTCCGGCCCGTTTTGGCGCCAAAACAAGGCACCTTAAGACAAAAACTAAAACAGATCCAGACACGGCAAAGGCTTGTGCATGTATTAACCATCTGATTTTGAAATGACGCATCGCCCACACCGACATGTGACCAGATATGACGTCATCGCGGAGCAGCCTGGTATCCGGACCCCTTAATTTTCCACAGCATTATTCATCCACCCGGGCACCGCAAGCGGTACACTTTTTGATCAACTAAGTTGTAACATGTGAGTTTCAAGACGTTGTCCTGTATGACTTGGAAAAGAGGATCCCTTTTTTATCTGACGCAATGAAGAATGGTAGGTACGTTCAACTGGATTTTCAATTTATCTCGTGAGTAGTACACTCTTGAGGTTATTGCCTTTGTTTGGTTTTAAAATCTGAATCAGTTGTGAACTAGCCCATCACAAGTCAAAATACACAAGTCAATTGCGTGCAAGATCATAGTTAAAAGGGATGAACATTGGCAAAGGATTCATTTATTTATATAGCTTCGGACGACCTAAAGACTAAAGTACTTGAATTCACCGTGAGGACTTGGCTTGAGCGAACTCTGTGATTCGCTTTGTTGTAGACATATTGGTTGTTGCGAATGCTTGACAGACTGACGTACGTATACTGCCTGGTTACAAACAATGATACACACTTTAGAGTTAAAGTTGGTTTAGTTGACTGAAATTGATAAACATCAAATTGATATCCGTTTAACCATTGGTATCTGAGAGTTGTGATGAGTAATATTTTGGTCTTTCATCAGATTTATCGGAGTTCATTCCCTGGATTCTTGCCATCTTCTTCGTCTTGTTTCTGATCGCCTGCTGCTCCTGGCTCTATCGATGCATCCAGAAATGCGACGATCAGTGCCCGGGCCTCCTCCCCGCCAGGAGTCCCTACAACCCGAACTCGCCCATGACGCCCTTCCAGAGCGCCAGGCACACGCGCAATAACTGCGAGGCCACGAGGCGGTTGACCACCCAGCGCGCCACCAACGAGGAGAATGAGCCATCCGGGAGCCAGCAGTGTATCCTAGGCCTATCGTCGTCCTCAGTGGTGCATTACCACGGCCAGAAAGCGCCCCCTTACGTCTCCTTTGCCGACCGGCCGCCGCCGCCATCTTATGAGGAAGCCTGTAGCTCATCATCGACAACCGCTGTTGCGAATACTGCGAATAGCGAGAACCCAGGACAAACAGTGGCGAGTATCGATACCACGAATGCGAATGACACCGATGGTACGCCAACAACAGCAACGGTGACCGCTACGGACAGTGTTGAAGTAGCAGACGGCGAGACAGTACCAGCATCGATTCCGAATAACGCTGATCATGACAATCGACCGAATGACATAGTCGATGTTGTCAACGAGTCGGTTGCCATTGACAACCCTCAGGATGAGCCACTTATAAACGATGATGATGACGATGACGATGAATTGCACGATGTCGTTATCGAAGCCACGACCCCCAGCCAACCCACGGCTGTGAGTGAGGAAGTGACACGACGTGAAAGTAGCAATGTTCTACTTTAGCCTTAGCCTATATTTAGATATATCAGGGCAGCCTCGACTCCATGGGCGCGTGCGCGTTCCTTTACTAAAATCGTGCAAGGCATGATGGGAACCAACATGGCGCGGCAAGATCGTACCCATGGAAACGAGGTTGGTATCAGGACCCAATTTCACGCTCTGCTTACCGTAAGCAAAAAACTTTGCTAACTATACAAACGATTAGCGTATTCATGGCACATACGAAAGGAATTTTAGCATGTGGCAAGTGCACATCCAATGTGCATTAGTTAAGTTTCAGTGAACTTAACTAAGCACTATAGGGATTTCTGCATTGGATGGTGTCATAAAAGCCAAATCCCGCGGTTGTTAGAGCCATGAAATTGGGTTCAAATTTTAGCATGAAACACATTTACTTACAAATAGACTATCGCTTAAAATTGTGAGTATTCATCCACCTATCGTGCAATATTTGTCTTCATATCGTGCCTGCCATTAAGAAAGTAGAAATATTGTCTCACATTCCTAGTCCAACTGTATGTCAGTGTGGTAGAGGGCGCTATCAACAAGATGAATTCAATCCAGGCCGCGTAATTTTTTTTCCTAGGAGGGTTAGGGGCAATGTCATGAATAATTCAGTTTTTCCTTTGAATCATTGCAAGACTTAGGTTCTCGTTCTATTTTCCCCTTAATTTAAAATTATCTCAGTGATAAATTTGGAGAAGAAAAATAGCTGATGAAAATGAGCAGCGACGACGTGGATTCGAACCAGGGCTCTTTGTATCCATAGCTCATCTCGCTATCCACTAGGCTACTGTGTGGTAGCTCGACGACAACCGTTCTTTAAAATGCTTTAATGTATTGTAACTAGTTGAGTAACTAACAACAATGCTGTTGATGTCATTGTCCGTTCTCATGGATAAACATGAATTATTCATGACATTGCCCCTAACCCTCCTAGGAATAAAAATTACGCATCCAGGCCTGGGAAGTTCGGTAGCGCTACCCATACTGCAGAAAATTCAGAACATACCTCGCGGGCATACCAGCTTGGCTACGGCAATTGGTAAAGATACGGACTACAACTTGGCTCACAGCTCTATATCATCTCAAAATAGAGTACGAAAAACTATTTAGCAGAAAAGGTACAACTTCTTGTCTTTGACGCTTCAGAAATTATTACTTGGCTGATGAGGACTGGGTTAAGTCTATCACGCAGGCCGCCTTGTCGAAACAGAAACGATAGAATTTAATAGTATTTCCTGTGTGACGCGGTTTTTAATGACACCTTAACATAAACTTCCTCACCCATCCTTCGTTTATAACTGGTAAGGTCGACGATTATCCAATTTGTGTGAAATAGGGGCAAAACAATACGGAACGACATCACACGCAAGGGGTGAGAAGAGGGTGTCAAGCCTTTGACAACTTGGAACATTTCTGTGATGTGTTTACATGTGCATGGCAGAATTTCCGCGAATTTTTTTTCTTTGCTGGATTTGAAAAATCAAATCCAGTGTTTGGGCCTTTTCATTCTCAGAGGGTTAAACTCAAGGTGATCAAATTCGGAGGACACAATTACTTGTAACACTGACTCAAAAGCTAAGTGCGCATGCCCGTTGAAATCAAATAAAAGTCGCGCCAAGTGAGTTGAAAGTAGTGGACTGGACAAAACAAGTGTATGCGAGTGCATGTACGCTCTGGTCGTGTGATGGCAAGAAGTCTTGCATGAAAGTCTTGCATGAAATCGATCAAAACGATCCCTGCCAGAGCTTTAAAATGGGACGCCGAAAAATGCGACGCCGATGGCACATATGGAACACCATACTTTTGGTCAGTTTTCGGGGACAGACCAGACAGACAGACAAACAGACAGACACCACGACCACCAAGTGACATGCAGAAGCTCCTGCCAGAGATTAATAAATATTTCACGTCTGCTTGCTTAAGCACGCGCTCCCAGAATTTGTAAAGGCCGACTAGTGTTAAGAGATACATAGCTCTAGTCGTCGTGGTCCTGAATAGCATAAAAACAAACCACGGTGACGTCGCGTGCTGGTACACAGAGTACGATTCAGTGATCACCTTGCATGATCACGCAGTTTTGGGCTTCTATTTTTGTTCGATTGTTTGATGTGTTTTGTTGTCCCGCCTTCGGGAAAAGGTCATCCGCTGTATAGGTCTTGTGTAAGCTGCGCACCCGGAAACCGACCATACATAACTACAGGCGTTCCAAAGCAATGACAACCATTTTTGTGTCCCCTGCAGAATCACCAACTGCTTGTTCCAACTGTATAATTTGAATTCCCGTTTTACACAAGTGGTTGGGTGTATGCATCATCGACAAGGTAACCGATAATATCCGCTGATAATAAAAACCCATGACTTTGTGAAAGTGAAGTTTAGTGTCGGACATTGTGTGGGACATTTTCCTCGCGAAGTTCAGCCATGGAGTTTGTCGACTGGAAGAGAGGCATTCTGTTCCTGTTTATGCTGTGTATTTTCCTGCTCGTAAATGCACCGACCGCAGATGCACGTAAGTCCGCACTACTTTAAAAACTTTTACTTCGAACTTGGGAAAGAATTCCATATCTGGACATCACTTGACACCCTGTGCACAAACCCTATGAAACTTGTCTGAAAAAGTCCAAGTGTTTTTTTTTCTTCAGTAAATACTTCAATATTTTATCTGCTAAATTTGACTTTTTAGAACATGTTATCGCTTTCTGATGGTTGATAGGTCATTTCAGGGAAATTTAAGTGATGGCCATATATGGAATTCTTTCCAAAACTTCATTTTTTTGGTGTGATTAGACGAAGTAGATAAAACCCTGCAGACTGCACATGTGTGCTAAATGTTGAATCATTAAACGTCATTAGTGACGCTGAAATGGGTAAAGTCCATTCAAAAAGTGAAGTTTTTGTGAAATTATTCCATATGTTCCCTTTGACTATAGTGGGAAGAAAAACCCCTATATTGAAGGCTCGGGTCACATATGAGCGACAGTAATTCTCGAAATTGGCTGAAACTGCATAGTCATGAACGCAAGGGCTTAAAGGCTCAACAGGAATAGAAACAGATAAGTGCCACACGACGTTATGAAGTTATGGTTAATAGCTAAGGTGTAAATATATTTCGTTTCAGTATTTACTGTGCTTGTTCCGCGCCGACGAAAAAAAACCCCACTCCTTTCTCTCTGTGACGTCACCGACAGACTAACACATTGTTCCCTATGTTCAGAGCTGTGTACACATTTGTAGGTTTTTTTCTTCAACAAGCGGGGATTTTCACAACTTTCCACGATCACGTGTGCTAGATGACGTCATGATCAACACCCTGATTAAGTGCCCGAATACAAAAACCCCGAGGTACATTATTATGAACATGAAATGTGCCTTGTTTGTAATTATGTGAATAAAATAAGGCTATTTAAAAACCAACCAAAGCCCTGGAAATTCCCTTAAAAACATGGCACTACACAGACTGGAAATGCCTTTGTATCCATTCAACTTGAATGGATACAAAGCATTAACGAGGAATATTCTACTAGGAAAATTTCAATCGCGTGTGGCCCTTTAACAAAAGACCAACGAGGAAACGTTACCATTGCGCGTTTTGCTCACTGGAATAACATAATATAGTTTCTGTTTATGATTAATATACGACGAGGAGGAATAGTTAACAGCAGTGCCTGACGATATAGGCATACTACAGTAACATAATTGACGTCATATTGTGATATCGCCCTCATTTACATGTTACATAAATTCCCAGTTGTCAATAGGCTTGTTTCCAGTCCATTTAGGGCGTATTCTAAACCGGCGGTTCCAGAGTGACCCGCAAACCCTGTGTTCTCGGGTTGCCGATTACGAGGAGTGCAGCTGGGCAATAATTCAAGATGGCAGCCGCCGTATTAAAACGCCGATTGAAAAGAAGGAATAATTAATGATAACGAAAATAATCTAAATCCCGGAACAGCTATAGATATTGGCAAAGACAAACACGCCCTAGAACCAGGTACAAATTTATTTTTGTATCATTACTTCTCCTGCACTAAATGAGTGCTTTCAATTTTATGCAAAAACAAATTAACGCAAGTTGCGGTAGGGGCCTAAGTCCGCCATCTTTGTTCGTGACGTTCTTCATCTACTCGCCAATAAGTGGGGAGTGAGAATCCTATTCGCGTGTTGGCTCTCGTCATTTGGAACCCCGTTCTCGTGTCCATTCAACACGAGAACGGGGTTTCGAATACGCCCTCATTAGTGTCCGGTTGCGTTTTATTTTAGTTCTACAATATTAACCTGTAATCAGCTATCGTCAAAAGACGGAGTGACAACGCGTTTATTGAAAGATAGCCTAAACCCATTGTGTTCCCATTTTTTCCTTTTAATTTCGAGAGAGGGTTTCGTAAAATTATTGTACTTTGATGTTCAGCTAATTCGGTGTTTTAAAGTAAAAACATTTGATAGTTAATAAAAATATGCCACCAAAAACAATTGACGATGCCCCCACGTGAAACCATCACTACCCAGCCCAAGTCCAAAAAGGACCAAACCAACTATCATCTCAAAAGAGAGTTAACAAATGAGCAGTGACTTATTTCATATTAATTTTAATGTCGTTTTTGAATCGGTGGAAAGTTTTTGAGAAACCGTGTTAATTTTATTTCCGCAGGAAGGCGCAGACAGACGCATCGACGCACGAACAATGAGGACTCACCGAGTGCCATGTCGCCAGGTAAGGAATTGAATACCAGTCATGTAGGCCTACATGTTTTTTTCGTTTTGGATGATTGTGCGCAATTCCCGGCTGATTTCAAATAGTGTCACTTAGACACAAAGCAGGCGCGGATCAAGAGGGGGGGTTGGGGGGGGTCAACCCCCCCCCCCAGCTCTGTCAAAAAAATATATATATATCATACAAATTCAAAAAAAAAAAAAATATCATACAAATTCCAAACAAATAAGTCGAACCCCCCCCCCCCCCTGTGACACCCCCCAAAAATGATACTGGTATAATGTCCGCCTGTTCAGAATACGGTACGGTGAAATATGGTACCAGCCCCCTCCCCCCCCCCCCCCACCCCCCAGTTTTTGATTTTACGGACGCCAAGTGTCCGGAGAAAAAAACCTGTGTACATTTTCAGATTTTTTTTGCTGATGAAAACCCCCCCCTGCAAAAATTCCTGGATTCGCCCCTGCAAAGTTAGCGAGTGCGGAAAATAGTTTGTTTGGCAGCCAAGTTCCCAGATATCCGGTTGTTACTGATAACTGTTAAAGGGAAGATAGAAAACTGTTTTCTTTTTCAAAAAGTTATTCCTTATTTTTAATTTTTAGTTATTCTGCCTTTTCTTTGCAATTGATTACACACCTGTGAAGGGGTACACGCCTGCTAGACTGATTCTCTGACCTTTCCCTAAAGGGTATTAATTGCTCCGTGTCATCTTAAGTGGGGCCAGGGAACCAGACTACAAGAACATGATAGGTTTTCTTGGTTTTTTCCCAGCATCTACAAGCCCAAAACGTGAAACAAGTCCATTTAACAACATTTTCTATAACATATATATATATGTCTTTCCCTATATTTCTGAAAATTGCAGCAAAAGCAAATGTTGTACATTCCCTTTCAAAACAAGGATGTTAAAACGTAGTTCACTTAAGCTGTTCTGATTTAAAGCTTTCTCTCTTTTTTCTTTCAAGCTATACTTATGTTAGTTTAAAGTTAAATTTATGAACAGTGATTTCAAATTCGGTCCGGATCTGGAAAATGCTCACGGACCAAATTCACCTGCAGGGCTATAGGGTTGGTCAATCAGTTTTAGCCTTGGCACAAGCCTGGTTATGCAAGTTGTTGACTACATTGGGAAGTGTGGACAAGTACACCAATAGATATATGGAATAAAACTTCCTGCTTCTCAGCTTTCGATATCAGTTGGTACGGTAACTGTGTCAGCCGCTCCAAGGCAGAATGTAAGAAAAGAGTCATTGCATTATCGGCCCATTGCACGCTGCTTTGAAAAAGAGGCTCCTTTTTGTAAAGTTATTATTCCTTGAATGTATTGTGCTAGAAGTGTTTGCAACGACGCGAAAGAGTCTTTGTTTTTAATACATACAAAGTGCAAGTGCATGTAGCCTGAGGTTCGCTGCCTAGGTTTTGTTCCAACTTTTATGGCGACCTGCCAAGAAGGAATCAACGTAGCACTTGTATTCCAAGCTTGCTGTTCATTGTCATGTTCACAATTTATTGGGTGTTAGTAGTATATGTATGAGTAGACATTTTATTATTTTGTTGTGTGTGATTTTCTGTTTAGGTTTCACGCACTACTTTGTGATAGTCGTCATCGTCTTCGGGGCCGTCTTGGTCTTCCTTTGCCTCCTCATCAATAGCCTCCGCTGCATCGTCAACATACTCAGCCGACGGAACCACAAGCAAACCGAACGGCAGATGAGGCACAGGACTGCTGGGCGCAGACACCAGCGGGCCGGGCACCAGGCGGACCTGATCGACCAATCAGAGCTGTGCCCGCCGCCGTCTTACGCCGAGATCGTCGGGGAGACGACTGCGCCCCCACCGGCCTACTCCTCGCTGCATGTGGGGGGTGCTGGGTGGGACAGCCCGCCCTCAGCGGATGACTGGGCACGCGCAGAAGAACATACAATTTAAATGGGGGGGGGGGGGGGGGGGGGGTCGGGGAGGGTGTGCTTCAGTCATTTAGGATGTGGTATATTGATTTGTATGGTCGATGTAAACAGTATCTTGAAAAGTGTTTAGCAATTCCAATACTGACTTCATACCAGATATTATGTTAATCTCCGGTAAAAGAAGTGTATTATAGTTTGAATAGTATTTTAACATAACCAAGATGTACGTTTCACCTTAGCCCCTAGTCTGAGTATCACCCGTTATCCACGGAGCCAAGTCTCCTGTATAACGTCTGATATAATCTAAGCATGCGTGACGTCATTTCATTTCGAAATCAGGACTAAGATTGTGATTGGTCAATTTCGATGCCGCGTTTTTGTAATACAACAACCTGTACAAAAAAAGGCTACTCATCGTGGGCGTAAATGTTTACGCACGCGGGGAGCTCGAATTACACGCGTATAGAGGGCGCCTGCTGATTGGTCAGATTCTCATACGCAGTCTAGTTGCATAATTAATCGCCGAATCTGTTTACGTATAATAGACCATGGTCGTCTTCGCCAGGGCCAGGGTCTGCTACACAGACTATTTATAGCCCCATGATACGTGCATATTTTCTTGTAAAAACAAAGTACCAATTTCAAAGCGTTTTCGTTTATGGGAACCGACGGCAGGCTAACTGTCAATGATTCTCGAACTTCTCGGTTAATTCATTTCTAAGATTGAAACAAACGAGGAATACTGGAGTAACAACAGAACCCTCTTATACAATGTACATACAACTCATACTATTATTGTGAATACCCAGTTTAAATATAGAGGAGTATTCTGAAGGTTGGAGTAAGGATCGCATTTTAGGGAGGCACTGCGATAAGATACTTATAATGTCAAATGTTTTTTTAAAAATAATTTTGTACAATATTAAAAAGAATCCTTTCTTATATTTTGCTTTATTGTAGCAAATTATTTCATTGTGCAGTTGTCCAATGGATTATGAGGATATTTTTTAAAAACAAAATAGGACGGCAGCCGTACATACATGTACATTATTATAATGTTAACCAAATAGGTGCAGCCCTGTAAAATAAGGCCCCAAATTGCCTATACGCGCACGCCGGCCAAATCACAATTTGCATGCCCTCAAATTCTCTTCCCAAAGTCAACGCCCATGGACAAATTTTATAACACAGTCTGTTGTTTGGGAAATAACCCGAGCCTTGTAAGTTCGGCCAGTGATCGGTCTTGATGTGTTACATAAGAAGATTCAATTTCGTGAGAACCCGTCAAACAACTGAAAGTTGTCAAACAATGAAGCTGTAACAATTTGAATGAGAGTCAATGTGGATTGTCGCGTGTAAACACTACATTGTTGCGATCATATTGTTCGACGACGCCTCATGATATTAGAGCTCCTAGTGTTACACATCTTTGAAAATCAGTGCACGGAATTTCAATTTAATACATCTTGTATTTTTTTGAGTTTTCGCTCGAAAAACAAGTTTGTTCTTTTTTTGTTCAATAATGCAGCCTCCGTGTTGGTGCTTTGTGGAGACCACTATTTATGTGGCGAGCCCTCTATTGAACGAAACTTAAAGTAGGCACGTGCGCACGTTGTCTTCGTGGTGAGAGACCCTAGTATTATTTAGCGCGCCCTTTCTCGACATTAAAATTTGAATCTCTTTTAAGTAACACATCAAGACCGATCACTGGCCGAACTTAAACCTTAATACAGCTGGGCCTGGTAGGCTCGGGTTATTGCCAACGAGTGTGTTGTAAAAATAATTTTGTCCATGGGCGATGACTTTCTTTTTTCATTCTTTTTGTATTTTTCGCATTTAAAATACCATATTTGTTTCTGTCATATTCTTATGGTTTCCCATAAAATTAAATCTCATAATGTTACACAGTCATCCTGAAAAATCACTGGACGAAATTTCAATTTTGAAATTCAGAAGAAACTCGTTTTTACAACAACTCAACAACAACTCAAGAAATACTAGATGTATTTATTTAAAATGTCACTAACGCCTTGGAGATCTAGAGAGGTAAGTATTTTAAAAAAAAATGAATACAAATGTGGAAGTACGTGTTATTGTCAACTAGGTTTATGGGAGTCGATTTACAGGTCTGAAACCTGTAAATCGCAATATGACCATGGAGGTAGGGGATCCGTTTTCAAGATGGCTACCTTTCACTTTGGGAAACAGCCCTAGATTTAGGGGTCGTCTTCTTTGGGTGAGAATTTCTCGAAAAGTCATCGGTCAACCCATCAAAAATTGAAAAGAAAATGAAAGATGGCATGTTGATCATCATTTTTCTGTGAAGCCTGAACACCTGTTGTTCGTGGGCATTTATCACTATTGTTTATGGGAATTTGTTTGATTGGGTGCGCCACTATTATAAGTCGACTTTGGCGGAAAGGAACAGCGCCACCTTGTGTCAGTTGATTTGCACACGTACACTGCACACGTGGCCGGCTGGACAGTGTTGACCAAAGATCTTATAGCGCCGCTTGCGGCGCTATACGGCGCTGTAGGATCTTTGGTGTTGACGTCGTCGGCAATCGCAAGTTACCGGAGATTTTGGGTCGTTTTGTGCCTTCCAATCGCTGTGTAAGTATAGGATATGTTTTTGTTTCACATTTGCATCCGTCGGGGAAAGAATTCCATAGCATAATGGGACAGGTTGGCTGGTCTAGGTGCTGAGGTTCACTGGGAACCGGACCTTTGCCTTAAATTTAAGCAATCATCTTCATGTGACAATACACTAGGCGTAGGCCTACTGGCCTAATTGATTACCGCCTTACCGGTATAGGATTAGGAAGTGTATATTGTTGATGTACCCTAACGTGGCGCGGCCCCTAACGTGGCGCACTTTGATTTTTCGCCTGTAGCGCCTAGCAAGAGCAAAAGTTTTAACTGAAATTTCACAGAAAGTGAAATTTCATCAAGTTCTAAACACTCCCGTTCATAAATTGCGAGTTTATTTACCCGCTACAAAGTTAAAAGAAAAATTTATTTTGGCGTGATTTTCCGATTTTATTTTCAAGTGTAAAGTGAAACCTTTGAAAATGCCCCGAAAAATAAGAAAATAATTTTCTGACAAACATGTGGCTGGGTATGTAAGTAGAAATAATAATGATTAATCAGAATTTATCAAGTTTACATCAATTCTTAAATGTTAATTTGGAATTTTCCGAGATTTATTTAAGAGCGCCATGTTAGGGAACACTCCGCCAATTTGTGCCCAATTTCCGGATGCCACCGTTTTTTTAATTTTGGCTTAAATTTTATGAAACCGAAATTGTTCACGGAGGTTAAATAGCAAGCATTAATAAGGTAAAAGTACCAGTATTTCACTGAATGAATTTGAGGTTTGTCAACAAATAGGTTTGGCAACACTACACGAGGAAAGTTGGGTAAGCTTCGAAGTGCGCCACGTTAGGGAACACGAGTATATATTGCCGGCGGTAATCCCTATCAACAGAGGGCGCTGTACTCTCTAAGATAGGGCTGAATAATAAGATATATTAAATTACCACCAATGGTTGTGTAATACCTGTTGCCTAGTGGATAAGCAACGGATATCATGAGCGGGATGATCCGGGTTCGATCCCCGCTGGCGACATTTTAAAGTTTTTTTTCCCCATCCCAAAAAATAAGAATATTCTTCTTTTATTATTTTAACATCAAACATTTTATTGTAGAGTATTACATTTTCTTTTTCAGATTTGTGGCTCTGGAGGACTTTTTTTAAAGGGAAATGGGCCTAAAGTCCAAAATTGTAAAATGGTCTGATCATGGAGGAATAAGAACACATGGTCTAATTCCCATCTTGTGAATACGAAGTTACAACGGTAATGTTGGCATGGAGCCAGACTAAATTTTGTCACCGGAAGATCTCTAAGTAAAAAAAACAGTAACTGCGCATGTTCAGTGCATATCCGGCAAGCTAACATTTACTTAATGTTTGCCGTCTCCGGCTAAACATCCACTGCCTTGATTATAATGTTGTATGAACGGTAAATAAGGCAATACTTATTACTACAACATATGCATGTATATTCATGGAGGAAGTGTATATAGTGTATTTCGAGTAATTATGGGGAATTTGGCAGACTTTTGATGAATCCGACAGATTTTTGAATTGCATATAGCAGAACTTGGCCACGACCTTAGGGTCACCCTGAACACCCCTGGGAGAGGGGGGGGGGGCTGTTTAGTCTTTCAGAGTATATAAATCATCAGTGCAACGACCCCCCACCAAACTTTTTCTCCAGTGTATGCCTAGCCTTTCGCCAAGGCCATTGTGGCTTAACTTGCCTGCATTAGATTTATGCCTGATTTATGCCTGATTCTCGCTTCATTGCTCCAGGGTTCTACGTTGGACAATGTATGGGGTGATCTTTAGAAATTTGATGTGGTTTAACGCAACACCGGCCACTTGTTGTGTCCGGTTGGCTTCAGGAGAAAAATAGGAATTTTTTTGACGATTTGTTGTGTTGGAGTGAATTTTTCCTTTTTTTCCCAGGGAAGCTTTGGACTGTGACAACTTGCTCTGGAGGTTTGGTTTTGGTTTTAGGTATTAAGGTAAAACTACACATTGTATCGATGTGAATGAAAACATGCAAGTTTTGACAGTTTTCTGTAAAGTTTTCACTTTTGAATTGTCTTTAACTTCAAATTTCTTACATTTCAGGACATTGCTGCAGTTTTTTTGTCTTCCAAGTCTCGGCTAGCTCCAGTGCCTGGACCAGAAAAGTGCCAGACAGTGTAGATCGCGTCAATTCACCCAAACCACAGAGCGCTTGGTAAATTATCAAGATGGCGGATAACACCAGCTACGTGTTGGTAACGGGAGGAGCGGGTTACATTGGTAGCCACACCGTGCTGGAGTTGCTGAAGGAGGGGTATAGCATCGTCGTTGTAGACAACCTGTCAAATGCTTCAAAAGGTATCAAGATTACTTTTTTGAACAATATTTTTTGAACAATATTTTTTCACACGGATATTTTGCAAAGCTCTGCAGAACTCTGCGGAACACAGTTTAAAATATTGATAAAATATCGTTTAAATAAGGGAATAAATGTGTGCTCCGGAGGTTTTTATCACTCTGTTTAATACCGCTTAGAGTCTGGGTGCTGATAATTACCCGAGCCGGAGGCGAGGGTAATTATCAGCACCCAGACTCTAAGCGGTATTAAACAGAGTGATAAATACCGACCGAGCACACATTTATTCCTTTTCATAAATACCTTATCCGTAAAAAAAAATCAGATAATTCGTTCAAAAAATCCCGATTTTGTTCAACAAGTTCACTTCATGCTTTTTGAAACATCCCTCTAGCAAAATAATGGAGTGTTCAGCTGGCGAGTAAGATGTAAACAACCCTTTTATGGAGATTGACGCGCGCGTAGCATGTTCTGCGCGATGTCACGCAGAACGCACCTGGGGCGTTGCGTTTTGAATTTAGAACTATAAAATTCTGACTCGCATGTAGTGTTGCGCATGCCTACGTGAGGATTGTGAACGTTCAACCAATGAAACGGTAAGAGGCACTGGATTTTTAGGAGTCCACATTTTATTGTGACACTGGAAAAGTGTTTAAGACCAGCTAGCCATGTCTTTATCATCCGTTTAAGACCAGCCATGTGACGGGCTCTCGACCAATAGGAATAGCTAAACTGTCTGAGGTATTTATGAATAGCAATTTATTTAGCTCTCTGAAAATATCAGATCCCCAAAACCAATGTTAAATCAATGTTCGGTCAACAAAATTCATACAAAAATACAAAGAGAAAACTAGAAAGACCTGAGCTGACGCCATTTTGACAAGTATAATCTTTATTCTTATTGCAAACTGAAGAATTTTGTCCTCTAGGACAAGACATCACACTTTATTGAAAGAACTGCATTGATCCATCGTTCACCCTTTGAACTTTGCCATTTGACCTGGTCTTTCTTCATCAGGTGAGAACAGCCTCCCCGAACCCTTGCACAGGGTACAGAAGATTGTCGGCAGCGACAAGAAAATGATCTTCTACGAAGTGGACCTGCTGGATAAGGAGGGCCTAAGGAACATTTTCAAGAAGGTATCACAAATTTTCAAATTTCATCCCCAACCAGGGGTGTCAATCGCTTTTCAAAAGTGGGGGAACATACCTTGATCAGAACTGATGCGAGCGTGAAGCGCGAAGCCCTTGAGGCGTGGTGTTCGGGGCCCGCTTAAGGGCCCCTAAACAAATTTGGATTCTAGATGCTATGTGGTGCGATCTGAGGCATTTTCTGACCACTTTAACCAATATTTTCTGAGCAAAAGATACATTGTAGTACATAATACTATTAATAGGGCCCTGTAAATGAGACACGTGTTCAAAAATCTTTTTTACCTCTTGTATCATTTTTAATTAACCTCGTTTTTTAAAATCGCTCCTGGTAAAAAGAGGGGGGGGGGGGCAAAATAGCTACCTATTCAAAAGTGGGAGGGGGGGGGGCAACTGCCCCTCTGCCCCCCTGGTTCCGCCGCCGGTGGCTATGACGATGGTGGCAAAGTTGATTATGTTTGCCAGGATTTTTTTCATTCGATCTTTCAATAGGGGCAAACGTCCATACCTTTTCCCTGAAGGTTTTTCTTTTCATTTAGAAGCTTCATTGACGTTGCTAGCATTCCACACATTCCCAACCTAATAGGAGTGGGACGGTCTTTCATTGAAACTAGTCATGCTTTACGCCAATTCCAGTGTAGTTTCGTTTTAATAAAAAGGCTATCAAGTTTTACCCTCTGCAAGTTTTTCCTCATAAAAACTAGACCGATAAAAGTAGACCGATAAATCCTTGCCTAGCCCCAAACTTGCCATCTACCGATCATAAACATAAAGATGCGTTTGGTCTGTTAGTCTTTTATATTTGCCATTCCCTGTAACAAACAAATAACACTGCAGATATATCGAGAGCTACATGTACATCGTTTAGGCCTATGGGAATATTTTTATGAACAGAAACTCATCCGCTTCCAGTGGAACCATTTTGTTTGAACTTGAACCAAAAAACATCCTTTCGGGTTTTATAAGTTAAAGTATATACTTCAGTATATTTCATCACAGTGCATCGAGAATCCAACATTTTCAGGGGCCTTAAAGCAGGCCCCTGGCCCTGTGGCCCCACGCCATAAGGGCTCGGAAAATAAAACAAAACATATACGACAGAATTTACTAAATGTAAGAAAGCAGCCTTGCAACAATAATATTTACATGCGATGTCATACATAATGATACAATTCTTTTTCCAGAATTAAATGGAACAAAAAATATGGAGATAAAATGCAGGGTTCTCGACTTTTCAGTACAGTAGAAACGTTATATGAGCAACAGTATATTCTAAACAAAAAACTGAAATAAATTGTCTTTATAATCTCAAAAAAAAAACTTTTGCTAAAAAAGTCATATGAAAGAGGCCAGGAATCGCCTCAGAGTGCACCACAGAGCATCCATATTCCAAAACTTTTAGGGGCCCTTTAAGCCACGCCGTAAGGGCTTTGCGCTCCGCGTTCGCATTAATTTTGTCCGTCCTTTAGAAACTCCAGCACCCCCTGGCAAAAGTTTGTTCCAGCGGGCTTGCCTACTAACGGAAATTTCCAGAAATGCGTCGCTTGACACATTGTTGGAACTTGGCCTTTTATTGTTTTTTTTCTTCAAATGACAGCATGCCAGAAAGAATGTCACAGGTAGTGCCATTACTATCTGTGAACCAAGTATGCTTCCAAACAATAATTTGGTCAGCTACTTTTTGGATAGCTGCAAAATGATCTACTCTACCTAACCCACCTCACTCCTCCAAAATCCTCCTGGCGGTTTTGGAGGATTCTAGAGGATTGAGGATGAATGGTGATTGAATCAAATGAGGATTCTGGAGGATTGAGGATGAATGGTGATTGAAGCACATGAGGATTTTGGAGGATTGAGGATGAATGGTGAATGAAGCAAAAGAGGATTTTGGAGGACTGAGGATGAATGCATTTTGAGGCAGGACTGTCTGATGATTTTGAAGGATTTGGCGTTGGTTATCCTTCATTTAAACACGAGTGCAAAGTTTTGGGATGAGGAGGATTTTGGAGGATTGAGGATGAATGCATTTTGAGGCAGGACTGTCTGACAATTTTGAAAAATTTAGGCGGAGTTGAACAATGTTGGAGGATTTTGGAGGATTGAGGATGGGTGTAAGCAACAAGGGCCTAGGGGGTTAGGGTTAACAGATTTTATAATTGAGACATATTTTTTTTCTTTCTTTCCCCTAGCACAAGATCCAATCTGTGGTTCACTTAGCCGCCAAGAAAGCCGTCGGTGAGTCCGTGGAGAAGCCACTGCTTTACTACAGCGTCAACATCACTGGAACCCTCAACCTTCTGAACGTGAGAGCATTTACAGCCTGAATATTCATATTTCATAATGTTTTTTTCCCAGGCAGTGTTTGAGTGAGGCTTTAGGCTGTGAATAAATATACCTTTATCATGCTGCCACCATTTCAGTCATGTTCCCTGTATCCAATAACAGTACTGAAGGATAGCATTTTTTTTGCAAGAAGGAACCAGACCATTTTTCCTTCCAGCCTCGCTTTGGTTTCATTGATTTGAGTGGGCGAAAAAAAATCAAATGGCTGCAACATGATAATGGTCTATTGGGGTCCATGTGTGAGGTTGAGTGAGATCTTTACACAAACTCTGGCAGAGCACTCCAATTAAAGTGCTGGTGGATAGCTTTAATTCAGTTAAAGTCAAAACCTCTTACATTTTCCCCAATGCAAAATTTCATTACAAAGCATATTCCAACTGATGGAGGGGTGGCCTAATTTGACCAAAGCAAGGTAGAGGTTGGCTTCAACCCTTGGGCCAGCCTGTCAGTTAATCCCCCTGCCTATCAAATTGTTCACCTATGGCTGATTGTTCACAATTGTTACGTGTGGTTGATTTACAAATAGGTATTTTTAGTCAACGTCCAATAAATGGACAATGCCATGGTTGGTTGGTTTTCTCTTGTTTGCTTGACAACAACTGATGACTGGTCTTTCATAATAGATACCAAGTAGAATTTTTGAAAAGCACACTTGACAAAAATCGACTTTTTAAAATTGGTGATTTGAGTCCCCAGCGCAGTTGGCAAATGGAGGCGAGTTCATATTTAAGCATTTCTGTCCCTAGTGGATTGATAGTATGATCCAATTTTTTTGGTAGATAACAACCAAGACACATAGCATTCTTACCATGCATAATAAGAAAATTTATGCCTTCAGGTTTGCTTGAATTTGTAAAAAAAAAGGAGAGTGGAGCATTTTTTTGGGGACACCCTGTATATGCCATAGAGTTATAATTCTTACATGTAAACTATAGAGATTTAATCTTATATATTTGTGTCTGGTTACTGTCGTAATCTAGGTCATGAAAGAATTCAAGGTCAACAATCTGGCATTCTCAAGCTCGGCCACGGTCTACGGCGATCCTCAGAAGCTGCCCCTGGACGAGTCGCACCCCACTGGCGAAGGCCTGACTAATCCCTACGGCCGATCCAAATTCACGGTGGAGATGATCCTGAAGGATCTGTACGATTCCACGAAGGTGAGTGTACTGGGATTAGGTGGGGATAGATAGGATTAGATGAGATTAGATTAGATGGGATAAGATGGGATTAGATGAGATGAGATTTGATCAGATGTGATTAGGTGGGATTAGATTAGATGAGAGTAGCACCGCGTTCCCACTTGAATTGGGAAAAGGTGGATCAAGATCCAGCATTTTGGTGTGATCGTTATCTTACCGCAACGAAACCGCAAGTCGCGTTTCCACTTATGCTTGATCCACCTTTTCGTACGGAAATGTTGGGTCCGAAAGGTCACTGAGTTCGGAATTACGCGCGCTCTGTGGGAGTGCCATTGTTGCATGGTTGCATGCTAGGCCAGGATGGGTCAGTTTTCAAATAGCACTATCTGAATTCACCGACAAAAATTACGCGACTTCACCAACATAAATCACGGATCCGTAGAGGATCCGTGCGTGCATAAATTAACAGGTGAAATCCAACAGAGCCGCTCATTGTGTAACATCACGGCAGAAACCAATGCATCGATAAGGGATTCCCTGGTTCTGAAGCTTCTCATTGGTTAGAAACGGTCACAAGGTGTACTACGACATCAATTTCCAATTTTCTATAATCAATACTTCAGATTTGTCACCTCCGTACGTACCGCGTTATCGGCACTATTCTCATCGCATACTCGTAAGCTTTTCTATGATTCTGTGCCAAAGTGAAGTCTTTTGGTAAGTGCGGACTCAAGAGTCATTTATGGATGGAAAAATAAGTAAAATTTCAGGAATGAAAAAGGTTTGGTAATGGACGAACACGCAACAAAAATAAGGCCTATATAGTGTAGTTTAGGATACCACGTGCGCTTTTGCATGCACGGTGCTAGCCCGTAGTTCAGCGGTTGTTTATTGTGCATGTTGTATACGCTGGAAATGTTCACATGAGCTACACGCCTGAAAACGTGTTTCTTCGTTCATGAGACCGCAACATTTTCGCGCCACTCGTGCACCGGGCGGATGTTAACAGGTCAAATTGCCGGATCAGATCCACCTTTTGCGTTCCCATCTGATCGTGATCCGGCAATTGCCGGATCTGATCCACCAATTGGGGGATCTGTATCCTGGTCCAGAGGTGGATCAGAAAAGGTGGATCTGATCCTGATCCACCTTATAACGGTTAGCGTTCCCACTACACACAATTGCCGGATCTGATCCACCAATTGGGGGATCTGATCCGGCAATTTGCCAAAAGGTGGATCAGATCCCCCAATTGGTGGATCAAGTGGGAACGGGGTCTAGATTAGATGGGATTACATGAGATTACATGGCATTGTATGGGATATGAGGTAAGATGGGATTAGATAGGATTATATGGGATTAGATTGGATTACGCACTGAGCTGGATTACCTGAGATTAAAAGTGGGTTGGGTTCTTAGTTTCTGTGTACCTGTTAGAAAGTGTTGGTTGGATTAAGGGATTTATTGGATTAGGTTTTGAATTCAGTTACAATGATCTGGATTAATTCAGAATAGAGATTTTTTTAGTCTTTGTTTCTGTCAGAAGCTGTGAGGCTGTATTAAGTGATTTATTGGGTTAACTTTGGGATAAAGTTATGCATACCTTGATCTGGATTAACTGGGATTAAAGGAAGATTGGGAATTATAGTAATATAAATGCATGCAGTTGGCCAGGGATTTTTTTGTGAGATTAAAGTCGATCTGATATGAATAATGGATATCATGAGGAATGGATTTTTGTTGTTTTGTGGTTCATCAGGGAAAAGGTTGACATCTATTAAAAACGCTAATTCTGTACTTGAATTTTTTTTTAGTGAATTAGGAGTTTACTGCCTCACAAAAAACAGGGGAATAAAACTTTGTTTCTGCCTTTTTTTTTTTAAAAGGACTGGAATATTATTCTCCTGCGCTACTTCAACCCCATCGGTGCTCACGAGTCGGGTCGAATCGGTGAAGATCCCTGCGGTCCGCCCGCCAACCTGGTGCCTTACGCCATGCAGGTCGCAGTGGGGAAGAGGGACGAACTGAAGGTGTTTGGGGATGACTACGACACGCACGACGGCACAGGTACGATGAAGGGTCAGGTCAGGGGTCAGGGGTCATGGTGGTGAGTCTTGTTATAAGTGACCAGGTCACAGTGGGGAAGAGAGATGAACTTTAAAGTGTTTGGTGATGACTGTAACACGCACGACGGCACAGGTACAATACAGCATCAGTTTGGGGTCAAAGTTCAGAGTGGTGATCCTTGTTGAAGCTATGTGGGTCGCAGTGGTGAATAGAGCTTGAGGACATTTTGCCATAAAAACTAAACTGGAAACCTGTCCTTGTATATGAACCACAGGGACAGCCACACCCTCAAAGCTTCTGAACATGCTGAAACTGCATTGGTTGGCGTGCATTTTGTGAAGATTCTACATTCACTAGTGCTTGAATACGTTCATGTGCATATTGCAGTAGGCCGACCCTGTGTCAAAGGTCATCAGGACAACATTGAACTGGTTGTTCTTTGGGGTTTCTGCCTCCGAACCAACATATTCTATAATGGTTGGCCAAAATTGTCTTGAGTATTTTCATTCTATTTGAAGCCTTTGTTGTACAGACGGAATGGAACAGAGATGAAAATGAAGCTGGTTTTTTTTTTTTTTTAACCACAGTTTCAAAACTCCTGATTCATATTGTGAACAAGATATGTGTCTCCCAGTGCTCAAAAACCTACGTTTTTGTAGCTGCCTTGAATTTTCAGTGGCTTTGTACATTGTACCGACTATGACCTAAATCCTTACACATTTCCTAGGTGTCCGTGATTACATCCACGTGGTGGACCTTGCTCTGGGTCACGTGGCAGCTCTCAAGAAACTAGAAGAGAATTGCGGCTTGAAGATCTACAACCTCGGTACCGGGCAGGGCTACTCTGTGCTGGATGTTGTTAAAGCTCTGGAGAAAGCCTGCGGGAAGAAGGTTAGTATGGCTGCATCTGACTGTGGTATCCTTGTCTGTGGCTTGACCTATTGAGTTACACCGACCCGACCCGACCCGACCTGACCCAATCCAATCCACCCCAACCCAACCTAGCCCAGCCCAGCCCAGCCCAGCCCAGCCAACCCAGCCCAACCCAACCCAACCTAGCCCGAGCCAACCCGACCCAGCCCAGCCCAACCCAACCCAACCCAACCTAACCCAATCAAATTCATTCCACCCCACCCCACCCAATCCAACCCACCCCACTCAACCCCACCCAGTCCAATCCACCACAACCCGGCCCAGCCCAGCCCAGCCCAGCCCAGCCCAGCCCAGCCTAACTCAACCCAACCTAGCCCAACCCAACCCAACCCAGCCCAACCCGACCCAACCCGACCCAACCCGACCCAACCCGACCCAACCCAACCCAACCCAACCCAACCCAACCCAACCCAACCCAACCCAACCCAACCCAACCCTACCCAACCCAACCCAACCTAGCCCGACCCAACCCAACCCAACCCAACCCAGCCCAGCCAAGCACAGCCCAGCCCAGCCTAACCCAACCCAACCCAACCCAACCCAACCCAACCCAGCCCAGCCCAGCCCAGCCCAACCCAACCCAACCCAGCCCAGCCCAGCCCAGCCCAGCCCAACCCAACCCAGCCCAGCCCAGCCCAGCCCAGCCCAGCCCAACCCAGCCCAGCCCAGCCCAGCCCAGCCCAGCCCAACCCAACCCAACCCAGCCCAGCCCAGCCCAGCCCAGCCCAACCCAACCCAGCCCAGCCCAGCCCAGCCCAACCCAACCCAGCCCAGCCCAGCCCAGCCCAACCCAACCCAACCCAACCCAGCCCAGCCCAGCCCAGCCCAGCCCAGCCCAGCCCAGCCCAACCCAACCCAACCCAACCCAGCCCAGCCCAGCCCAGCCCAGCCCAGCCCAACCCAGCCAAACCCAATCCAACCTAGCCCGACCCAACCCAACCCAGCCCAGCCCAACCCAACCCAACCCAACCCAAACCTAACCAAATCAAACCCAACCCACCCCACCCAACCCAATCCAACCCACCCGACCCCAACCCCACCCAACCCCACCCAACCCCACCCAACCCCACCCAACCCCACCCAACCCCACCCCCACCCAGTCCAATCCACCCCAACCCAACCTAGCCCAGCCCAGCCCAGCCCAACAAACCCCAGCCCAACAAAACCCAACCCAGCCCAACAAAACCCAACCCAGCCCAACCTAAATTAGCTGTGCCCAACACAACCAACTCAATCCAACCTAATCCAACTCCTGCACCCTTACTCAACCCAACCCTACCAACTCATAGATTCTTGTTCCGTAACTAACTGTGGGGACTACACACCTGATGTCCCATGGTATTAAGGGGACCGAAGATGCTGTGGGGACAGCAGAAAGTCCCCATATTAAACTCGGTCCTAATTTCCCTAACAATAAAAAACGTCCCCATAACGTGGTGACGACCCACCCACCCTTACACATTCAATCCATTTTCTGCTAACGTTCCCATTTGTTAGAAATGACGCTTTTCTGGATGATAATTTCAGGTCAAGTACAGCATTGTGGGCCGTCGGAGTGGCGACGTAGCTGCCTGCTACTCCGATCCTAGTCTGGCAGAGAAAGAGCTCGGATGGAAGTCAGTTAGAGACTTGTACAAAATGTGTAAGTCTTAATCAATTATCTTACACATCTGGTCAAAGGTCATCTAGGGGTCACATGAGGTCATTGCTCTTTTTGGTTTAGTAAACTGAAAAGTGCTGTTGTATGAAACGTCAAACTTCACTCTCAACCATACTTGGTGGCAATAATCTTTTGGTATGGGGACTTAAGGCCAAAAAAAAAAAGTCTCCGGTTTCTGGTATGGAGCTTGCCCCAAAAGTGGTGCGGCGACGTGTTTTTTTTTTGTTTTTTTTTTACCCAACTTTTTTTTCTCTTCAAATGTCAGCTGATGTTGCAGATGACGCTTCGCTCCCCCTTAAAACTCTCAAAATATCCTTCTCAGTGCAGCTTGAGGTGACCTCAGCAAGGCCATAAGACTTGAGAAGTATATTGAGCTAATTAAAAAGCGTTTACAGGTTCCAGATACACGACCATCGCACCGTCAGTCTGGCTTCCAGACTTACTATTACAAAATTACAACACCGTCTGCAAATGGTGTCCGACTAAATTTAGAGCAAAATATATGGGAGCCCAGAGAGGCCACATAAAGCTTATACTCGATCGTAACCCAATCTAAAACAAGTTAAAATTGTGCAGCAGCAGAATTCCAGTCAAACCAGTGAGGTTGGCAGTTTTGAGACATCATCTTACATTGAAAAAAAAAAAACCTTTTTAATTTTGCCGACGTGCATGGCTACGGCGACGCGAGCGCATACCAGAAACCGGAGGCTTTTTTAGGGGAGCCTAAGATGACCTGAGACATTTAAGGTCCAAGGTCATCTAGGGGTCAAATGAGTCCATCGCTGATTTTGGTTCAGTACTGCCAGCATACAGGGGATCGCGCAAGTTTAACTTGCAGTATTTTTTTCTTGTGGCATCGACATAACAACTGTCATGAAGAATGATTTCCTTTTTTTTGTTTCTTTTTTTTTTTTGGCAGGTGAGGACCACTGGCGTTGGCAATCCGAGAATCCCAGCGGGTACGCATCGTGATGATCAGGTGACCAGGGAAGTCTAGGTGCCAAAGACGCAGAATTGCTGCTGGAAGTTCCTAAACCATAGGTACCACAATGAGCTGGACTATTTGGATCTTGACAGATATTTCTTTTACTATTTGGTTATTTTCGTCTTTATTACAAGAATAAGAAATAGTTTAGCAAGTATATCTTTTAGCTGTGTGTGCTTTGTCAATGGTGTCTTTGTACCCACTGGACACCACTACAGAGTGAGTAAAAAAAAAAGGAAACCAAAATGTCACGACCATTTTTTTTAGGAAAGTTCTGCATGTATCACTTTCAAAATCTAGGATATAAAAGCCCAATTAATAAGCTTTCTTGTAGTACCAGAATCATTCAAATCACTCATGTACTTTTCAAGTTACGGAATTTTAAACACAAACACTGTTTTAAAGTTCTGTCCACGGATCACAAAAAAAAGGTAAGTGTTCGTTCAGCAAAACGAAAACAAATCACGTACATCCCTATGTGAATTGTTTTCGTTTTGTTGAAGAGAACACTCAACTTCTTTGGTGATCTGTGGACAGAACTTTAAAACGGTGTTTGTGTTTAAAATTTCCGTAACTTGAAAAGTACATGATTGCTTTGAAAGATTCGTGTACTAAAAAGAAGGCTTACGAATTGGGAGTTCATATCCTAGATTTTGAAAGTGCTACATAAAGTAATTCACTAAAAAAATAGTCGTGACATTTCGGTTCCCTTTTTTTTTTGACTCGCCCTGTATAGACACTTTTGCGTTCAGCAACAATCGTTGAGGTATTTTTTCATTATGTTAATTCAGTGAACAGACAAGATATTTACTCATGAATATCTCAGGGGAACCAAATCTTGTGCCTTAAACATGGCTGGCATGCAAACGATCTATAGCCAAGTCGATGGCAGACCAAAAGTGCTGGAAAAAGTCGGCCAGTAAAATCTTCCAATTTCATTGTTGCAGTGAACATGTCTGTTTTAACGCCTCTTGAATCTTTCCTGAAATGAAGTTTAGTTATCCTTTTACAGTGTCTTTCTTAGATTTTCATAGTATAGAACAAGTAAGATGAAATTAAAAATAATCGTATAGGTTTTCCCGGCTATTTTAAAACATTTTTCATTGAAATTCACCAACTCTATCATTCAATTTTGTCCGAGAAAAATGTCACACGCTTTTAACTAAACCAATTTAGTCATTTACCATTCAAATTCCAAGTGTGGTCATCCTCTTTAGTCACCGGGTCGCGAAAATGTGTCATTGCAGATCAAATTTGTCTTGGCTGTTGCCGAATGGCAGCATTCAGAGATCGAAGTAGTCTTATATAAATCAATTCGACGCATTTGATTTCCGAATAACAAGGTTTGGCTTAGACGAGACGAAATCGAATATCTCGGGACAAAAACGGGTGCTCATTGTTTGAATTTGCTTGAGCTGAATTTGAAATTGTCTGACAAAAGGCCAAATTAAACATTCAAAGTGCACTAAATTGAATTTGATGAACAAATTAGAAACGGTGAATTTGAATGATAAACGTTTCAAAATAGCCGGGAAGACCTATATTTTTTTATTTTTGGAATGGTGGAGTTGTTTCGAATGATGTAGTCTTCCAGCTTCTTGGTCAGATGTTTTGAAACTTTTTTTTTTTAACATATCAGCATAATCGATACATAGAGTATCTCAGATGAGCCGTTCTTTTTTTTTGGGGGGGGGGGAGGAGTCTATGGCGATTAATTATGCAAAACAACACTGCGTCTTGGTCTCCAGATTCTGACCATTCAGCGGACGCGTTCTATCAGGTCTTCCGTAACCTGTTGTTTACAAAAAAAAACATGGCGGCAAAATGACCAATCAACAGTCCACATTTCAGCACGAAATGATGTCACAGTTTCTAAAGTCTACTCCGATTGGCTGGCCCGCGGAGTCGCACAAATTTGCATCAGACGTTGCGGAGATAGCGTGCGGGCTCCGTTGAACAACGGATGATACTCGGACTAGAGGATAGGGATGTAAAATCATGTTATTCATATCCATAGAACTGGGTTTAGAAATGTAATTGTTGAATTTTAATTTTCTTGTAGTGTGTTCTTGATTTTTTTTCATCTGTACCGTGTTTGTTTTGTCAACGTACCTAGAATGGGGTATTTTATGAGTTCTAAAATATTGCCTAATTTAGAACAGATTATATTTTTGTGGTACTAATAGTGAAAGGAAATGAATAAATAAATAATATACTCGCATATATTCTATGAATTGAATTTCTTGCGTATTTCATTATTTTTGTTATGCATTTGTAGAATGAGGCTCTAAAAGTTGATAATGTTGCAAACTTGCACGTGAATATTCACGTGTGTGTTTGTCTTTCTCTAGAATAAATATTACTAAGTACAATTTGATAAAGTCGATTGGTTCCGTGGTTGCGAACTTCTCTTGATTAATATAAAGACTTTAGCTTTTTTTTATACCGAAAGATAAGTATAAGTTCTGAGCACTCTCTTGTATGAAATTCAAGTAGTCCAGTGGTTAGGACTCTGAACTTGTGATGTAGATGTCCAGGGTTCAAACCCCAGCAGGTCCTTTTTTTAAAATTAAATTAAATTAAAATTTATTCCATGCTGTGAGATAAATATAAGGTCCGAGCACATGTTAGTAAGAAAATCAAGTTGTCCAGTGGTTAGGACTCTCAGCTCTGGACTGCATGGTCCAGGGTTCAAATCCTGGTGAGGGAAATTTTATTTTACTTGGGCATATTAAATATATAAAATTAAAGCAAAACTCTTCTTTAAGCTAGCTCATTTAGCTAGCTTGTTACCCTGCTGGGGCTTGATCCTGTTTGGGGAGCGGTTCTCGGCCACCGGAGCGGTTCTGCCAGGCAGCGACTTAACCTGTTGAGCCACTCGGGTCCCCCCAACAACAAGCGTTCGTTTCTAATATATAAAGATTAGGTTCATACTTAGAAAATTTCACAATATTGCTGGAGAAGCGCTGTATGCTTGAGCATGTTTGTTTCTGGAACGTAAGGAAAAGCACTTGATAGTTCATGGTTCAACTTGGCAAGTTTAAACATACATACAAGAAAATGGTGTATAGAAACAAAACACATAAAATAAAAACACAATGTCAACCATAACATTTTTTTTTACAAAATACCAACACTCATTTTATTCATAATTTGGGTCTCCTTCGGAAACTTGACTTCCTTCACAATTCTTCAAATTTTTTTTTTTTTAATTATCAATCCAAACTCGGGTTAAGAAATTACATTGGTTAAAAAATTTACAGACAAAATTATTTTTAAAAATGGACTTTTTTTCATTAATCAATCAGTTCTTTTAATCAAATTGCTAATAGTTTGGTTTAAATACCAAATTTTCGAGTTGGGGACATAGGCCTGTTTATTTAATGGCGAAGCCTCCATGGGAAGAACCTAGTAAAAACAAAATTTGTAGTGAAAAAAAAAAACTAAAGAGGGCGCTATACAACAAAGCAACATGCAGCTGCTTACGCATTTACATTTTGCCTCCGCAACTGCAAGGGCTCATTTGATTGGTTCCCGGTCCCTCCAATGTATGCTTGACAATGGAACAGGGAACCAGTCAAGAAGGGAGAGCTCTGACCTCACTGGTTCCGGTGTGCTATTACACTATTAAATGCTACGAATGGCTGCATACCAGGGACATGTCGGACAGGGACATGTCGGACAGTGACAGCAATGCTCTGCTGCTTTCATCAATGAGGACTTTATTGTGCACAAAGTCCATAAAACAGTTTCAACCAAAAAGCCACTTCAAAAGCAGTTGGCTACGACTGTCAGGTGCACATGAGTCAATGGCAAGTGGCTGTAGCCGCTTCTATAGGAGTATGTGTAATTTCCAAGCCGTAGCCAGCTAATTTTTGTACAGCCTATTATTAGTAGACTGCATCCTATAGAAGTATACACTTATCTACTCCGTCTTATCTTCAGGGTACCAGACCGATGAATGGCTATTCTTATCCCTGTCTGTCAATTACATGAATTTTTGTCCAATTAAAAAAAAAAAAAAAAATTCTTAAAGAATATCGGTCTCTGTCCATCGTCAAAACAAAACAAAAGAATCCCTTTCCAATCACAGAATACATCAAATATAAATAGCCAGCTACAAAACAACTCATTATTATAACTAAACTTTGGAAGACTATTGGAAAATTAAAACTACGCAGTTTTGTTAAAAATGAGTAATACGATCTTCACAGCATGCTTTTTTTTTTTAGTACGATGCGGTCCAGCAGAGTTGACCTTTGGCACTTAACTACTGCATGATGGGATACATTGGTACAAAATCGGCAAACCCAACAAATATTGCGATCAGAAATTCAGGCAACAAATAACGTTGCATTAGCTTGACATAATTTGCTAAAAAAAAAATTAAAGATCAATTAATATTTCTGGTTCTTTTGCAACACAAGTTTGGCTAGCACATGGCGTTTCTTCACATCTGTACTTTTGACCGTTTTGGACAACACAGATCTTTTACAAGAACTTAAACATCGGCCCTAAAAATGCTTGGATCTTTTGGGCACCTTGTAGGCTCATGTTGATATGCAAATGTAGGTATGTGTACATGTACATTGTAAGCGTTAAAAGCAATTTCAATCCGTTTTGCCAATACGAGGCAAATCTGGACAACCAGTTTCAAATACTGATAAAAAAACCTGCCACTTTGGGTCTATATTATAAACTCAATGTGTATGTGTGGAAAAACCAATGTCAAAACTCAAAACCAGTTGTGTTTGTTTTTGTCTGAACAGATCTCCCATACCAACAGTGCATGTATGTTGTACCATGTGCTACAAAACAGCACAAGTACACCAGTCTAAAATAACACGCTGACTTTAAAACATATTTTGTTATGAACTTTCAAAACAGAGCAAATGATACAGACATAACAAGACAGTCTCATGAAATGACATTAACCAGAACAAAACTTGCGTTTAGTAGCGTTTTACAAATCAGCATTTTCATTGTTTTTTTAAGCTGCTGTCTTCTGCCATTAATACGGATTTAAAAAAAAATGTTTTTTGTAGGTGCCTTATGAAAAATGGAAGCAGAAATAAAGTTCATCTTAAAACACGCTAGCCCTGCAAACCTCTTTAAGATTCTTGAATTAAAAAACAAAAGCAGCCAGGACAGACAAACTACCGAGTAAATTCTTCAATTATTTCCAGACATTAATCAGGGGGAAAAAAACAGGAATCTGTACATTTTGAAAAGTTTTTAAATTTGCACTTGGAGTAAATTGTTCAACTACATTCCACAGTTCTAATTAATATTTATTTCGCGTTATAAAAAAAATCTACTTCTAGTATTTGCACCACACCGTTTAAAAAAAAAAATTTAATCAGCGCACGTGATCAGATATTAACAGAATCAACCTGCTTCAGATGATTAGTTTTTTTAAATTTTTAATAATTAAAAAAAAAAAAAACACAAGCAAAGGTCTTCAGCTAGTATGTTACATTGAAAACCATTCTCTACAAATACTCCGTTGCTATCAATAAATTCTCATTACATGCATAAAAAGGATTACATACAGCTTGTATACATGTAGATGCTTTAAAAAAAGGGCAATGCTTAAATAGAGCGTGTGACCTGCGAGTCAGTGGGGAGAATTTAGTTGGCTTTTTGTAAATTGCCCGCGACAGAAAATGAAAGACGGATCAATGGAACACGTCAAAAATTCAGTTTTGTTTTTTAAAATTTTGTTGCCAGTAAAAGCTGACAGTACAACCAGCTTAACAGCAAATTTTATTTTTTTTTGAATTTTTTCTTAAACCATTAAACTAAAGTAATGATATGATATGCAGCATTCTGCTCTGTAAACACTGTCCAAAGTCGTCTTTGTCTAAGAAGAATCAAAAATGAAACTGAACTTTTCACTTTAAAACACACCGACGTGTCTTCAGCCTAAAACTGTCATCAGGCCCCTATACTGTCACAACCGGTATCGTACTGGCGTATTGCTATGCGAGTCAGGGTACAATACCAAGATGGCTGTACATGGTCACCTTCAAGCATACGTTAAACCATCCGAGTTTTCGCTCTGCGAATTTACATTGCATTGTTAATAAAACATTACTTGAAATACAATTTTAAGGTGAAAGTTTCAATCCGTTCCCCAGTTTAATTAATTCCTGTAAAATTAAGAAAGATTTTTTTTTTTCTCTTCGCCTTGACGTTCTTTGAAAAAGATCACCATGTCAGGTCACAGGTCACGCTACGAAGAATCAAAGACTGCTTCAGTAAAATCCACACCTACAGGTAAATTACAATATTGTACAAAGTCTGTACAGGGCGGCTGAAGAGGAGACTAGCCCGCAAAGTGCTGATGTCAGGGTCGGTGAAATCTGTGGAGGAAGAAACCCCAAGATCGTCAGAGGAAAACAGACCCAGAAATTTTTGTTGGCAATGAGAACCTTTTCTTCCATTTTAATTTACGCCAAAATTGATATCCGATAATAACATGTATATCAACAAAGCAACGGGGGGCAACGGGGGCCATGCCCACCCCCAAACGAACCCCAATTTTAATTTTTTTTTTAAAGTGATGACACAATAAAGGCAGGCACTGCATACACCACCATCTTTTCCTCAAAAAAAATTGGTTAAAGTGGTCAGAAAGTGCCTCAGATCGCACCACAGAGCATCTAGAATCCAACATTTTTCGGGCCCCCAAAAAATTGTGTTCTGGATCCGCCCTTGCTTGGAGGCGGGTGGGTTTCCAAAAATGGAAACAAAAAAAATTGCTGTTATAAACGCTTCTGTTTTGATGCCCTGGCTAGAATGACATTATGGGCACGTTTTCTATTGCTAGGAAAAAATGTACCGAAAAGTGGGGACTTTTTTACTGTCCCCACAATGTTTCTGGTCCCCACAAATCCCCGTTGTCCAACTGTTGTAGGGTCCCCACAACTTAGGAACAAGTATGTGCGCCTGGCCACTTACCTGGTGTATTTCCTACTTTCTTCATGGACACTCATTTCTTCGCTCTTGAAATCGTTCAGCTCCTTACGAATGGATGCCTGGAGAGGACAGAGGCGAGAGGAGGGGTAGGTGGGAGGAGGGAAGCAAGGGAGAGACTTAGTCCTGTTTTCCGCCCTCCACTTTTTAGGGGAGTGAAGAGTCTACGGGGAGTGTACAGTCGCCGGTGCCACATGCGATTGGACATGTTGGATCCACAGAATTTTATGCAATTTTCATTGTCCCTTTTTTATTTGTTTGAAGTTTTTGAAATGCAATTACACAGGGTTCGACCTTAACTCTTTTTTTTCATTAGCCAGCCGGGCTACCGAAACAAAACTCTTAACTAGCCTGCGGGCGCTTTAACCAGCCAGCATGTTTTTCTGACTCGTAAAACAACATTGTTCATATATGTTAAACATGTATCCTGAGGCAATGTTGTCATTGTTTTTAATACACAGATCTAATAATTTAACCCTAAACAGTTTAATAACATAAATTGATACAGGTTTGCTTACTGATTATTTTAATGATATATTTCTTCCTGTCCTTTCATCTTTGCCGTAGCCCAATAACTTTTGACTTGCCAGCCGGGCTACTCAAGGAATAGTTTGACTAGCCCGCCGCTGTTTTGACTAGCATTTGGCTAGCGGGCTACCGCTAAAGTCGAACCCTGAATTACAGCAAATGTTCAAATTCAGCGAAGCTTTACTTGTAGGACACCTCAGTTTCTGGGTCGTTCTATAAATTCAGAGTCCAAAGTGTGACATTTTTCCTGTCCCTGTTACCTTGGTACTTTGTAATTTGCCATTCAAGTATCATTAAGAATGACTTCAGACGATTTATTTAATTTGTTGGGTAGGTAGTTTGCAATTCATAATCACTCTTGGAGGACGACTGCATTAAGGAGTGCATCAGAATTATAAAATCATAGATGTCAGATGTAACAAGGACGGGAGAAAAACTGCAAATTTATAGAATGACACACATGGCAAAAGTACTACAGTGGTCAGAGTTCAAAATAACCACCTTATTTCTGTATCGGCAAAGTAAGTTGTGTGGGGGATTTCGTGTGATTGACTCTTACCTTGTCTTGCGGCGTGAGTTTTGTCCAGGGCTTCTCGGCTTTACGGTCGTAGTCGAAAGCCTCCATCACCTCCACGTACTCATTGAATTTGATGATGTTGCGCTGGCGCAGCTCCTCGACGGTTGGACGGAAACTCAGCTGTGGTGGAAAAGTGAACAACCAGTCAGGAATTACATCACTTCATGTTTTTTTGTTCCATGTAAACCCTAACCTAAGTGGACATGTGACAGTTCAACGATTGGCTTAGGCCAAAAAAAAAAGTCTCCGGTTTCTGGTATGCGCGCGCGTCGCCGTAGCCATGCGCGTCGGCAAAATGAAAAAGGTTTTTTTCAATGAAAGATGATGTCTCAAAACCACCAAACTCACTTGTTTGACTAGAATCCTGCTGCTGCACAATTTTAACGTGTTTTTAGATTGGGTTATGATCGAGAATAAGCTTTATGTGGCCTCTCTGGATTCCCATATATTTGCACTAAGTTTAGTCGTGCACCATTTGCAGTCATCAGCCGACATTTGAAGTAAAAAAGTCAGGTAAAAAAAAAAAAAGCCGCGTCGCCGCACCACTTTTTGGGCAAGCTCCATACCAGAAACCGGAGACTTTTTTTTTTTGGCCTTATCGGTTTGGAGAGCCAGTGCAGTTTTCATCCAAACTCATGCCAAGGTCCGTGTAAATAAATAAATAAATCAATAAATTGTAATGCTTATATAGCACTTTCCATTGCGTCAACAATCTCAAAGCACTTTTACAATTATTCCCCCGTTATCAAGCCACGAGACCACGCGGCAGCCGATATCAGCACACATTCGGTCCTCTGCCCTCACAGGTACCTATTCATACTCCTGGGTGGAGAGAGGCAATAAGCGCTACACGGAAATGTGCGCCATCTTGTTCACGGGGCAAACAGAACATGCGTTGCTAGACGCGGGCGCATTTTGGAATGACCTTGGAAGCGCTAAAGTTTTCGGTTGACGATGCGTACCCAGCAACGCGTGTAAATTTGCCCCGTAAGCACGATTGCGCATATTACCATGAAAGTGCTTATTGCAGTTAAGTGTCTTGCCCAAGGGCACAAACACCCATGCTCCTGGCAGGGTTAGAACCCACCCACCATCGTACATGTAACTCCACAGTGTCGAAAATTGGAATATTCAAAATTCAGGGGGGTTTTCGAAGAAGAAAAATAGACGGTTGGGGTTAATGTTATTTCAGACGAAAAATTAAGCTTTTTCAGACAATGCATGGTGAATTTCAACAACAATCTTGGGGATTCGTTGCCATGGGGACTGACCTTCCTGACTAGATTCCTCCTTTTCTCTTCCATTAGGTCTTTATCAGTCCTATGCGTGGCCTCAGCTGGAGAAGAAAAAAAAAAAATTAACTTTACATGTATCTGAATCAAAATTTCATAGCTGTTTTTAACCAAAAGAAAGTTACATGCTTATGATTGTCCTGTAAGCGCAGATATTCTGGGTGAGATTGCGGGGAAAATGAGAAAAAAAAAAATCTTGAAATAATCAACGGAGGGTTTGCTGGTCCCAGAGGAACGTAAGGTCTATATGATAAGTTCACTTTTGCAACTTTTTCCAACGATGGTCAGCCGACCATCGTTTGAAATAGAAAAAAAAACTCCACTTTTCTTGAAAATGACAGCACATCAGGTGCCACGATTTCACAGGATGCTTGAGACTATTATTCACTTACAGTCAAGTAAGGTATTTCATAATAATTGGGTAGTTCTGTTTTTCGATGTTGGCAAATGTTGTATATTACCTTTAACTCATGCTTATCTGGGAAATACAAAACTGTTGCCCTATATAAACTTCGCCCAAACGCGTAAAGTCTACCGGTTGTAACAATTAATCACTACGGTCAAGACATGAACTCACTCGCTGAGATGTAATTCTCACCTTTGTATATATTCCTCTGCTCCAGTTCTTCTTGCGTGGGCCTTTGACTGAGACGTCTAAAAAAAACAAAAATGAGGCAGAAAACGATCACTTAGAGCCCAAGAGTATCTTGGCTTAGCCATAACTTCAGCGACAATTTTGTGTGCGTGTGCTTAATTAGCTTGCCGAACCAAAGTAAAGATTGAATATTTTTAAAATCTCATCAATCCCAGAAAATTAGACTTTTTTTTAGAATAGTTCAATGTTCCCAGCACTTTATGAAAACAAAATTCCTTGAGTTTTCCCTGATATTTCCCTGCGAGATTTCCAAATTTTATAAGAAATATTTTCACTTTAAGGAGGTTGCTGGGAAGTCAAGAGGTGGTTGAGCACGGCCAATTGTGACAATCTGGAGAGTTGTGTAATATTCACACCGCATAAACGCTAAAACGCCACCATAGCCAGTCAGTCAATGGCCACAACTTGGACACAAGTGACAACACGCACATAGGCCAAACAGGCGAAAACCGTTCCCTTCTAAGGTCACTATCAAATTCCCAGAGTTTGGCCTGATATGTGGTGTTCTTCCCCGACTCCCTGAGTTTTTCATGACTGTAAAAAAAATGGAAACTCATTTGCAAGGTTTCCCTAATTTCCAGAGTGGCTAGGAACCGTGCTGTTTACAAGATGGCCGGTTTGAAGTTGATACATCAGCGGGTACTCTTGGACAAATATGGGTATTATGGAGTGTCGTGGCCTCTGGTGTTTCAGAGGCAACAGTGGCGTGGGTTCAAGCCTGGGCCCGGACACTTGTGCCCTTAAGCAAGGCACTTAACCATTATTGCTTCGTCCTTCGGATGGGACGTAAAGCTGTAAGTCCTGTGTGTTGTATAAGGCCTAACGCACGTAAAAGAACCCAGTAACACTTATCGCTAAGAGAAGGGGTTTGCCCCGGTGTTTCTGGCCTCCTAGTTATACTCCCTTGTGGAAGTCCTTAGGAGAAGAACCAACCAAGTATCAAGTCCGGGAAACTCATGTCTGACTGTAATTTCATCCAGAGGACGTCTATTACAGGCTAGTTTTCCCTTACCGGACTAGCTTGCTGCCGATGGCATTCATGATCTGTTTCATCTCGTCGTTGCTCTTCTGTGGCAAGATGTTGCGTTCCTGCAGAACCTCTCGGGTCGGCCGGTTGCGCAGGTGGAAGGCCAGGCTGTCGTTGCGCTTGACCCTGGCAACCAGACTCGCTGCAAGTGGTTAAAACATGAATGTTCAAAACTAAATGGTTATGACAAGTGGCATCGAATTGGAAGAATTTTAGGACTACAACGGATTCATAGTTTTACCCTTTCATACTCTGTAGCCAGATTGGTATTACGCTTTACGCTGTAAGACTAACCTACCTTATTTTGAACGTTGCTGTCGGCCAATCAGATTGTACGCATAGACTTTCAGACTAAATATTCATGATTCTTGATCTATGAAGTCTTTTTTTCCAGGAGCTTGTTAGCCAATAGGAGAGTGCGTTACATGTAGTGTTTTGTGCAATAAAAACTAAGGCGACCGTTGTGGCATATATGTGACCGGCTCCACAAAAAAGGGTATTATGTCTCAAAAAAGAGAAATTTAGTTATATACATGTTTGGAAAGCCCACCATGTAAGCTTTCATTTGGTATATAATAGAGCTCCATAGCCCCTCCCGTTCTGGAGATATGACGTATTTGCATATTAATTACTTCCTTGGAGTTCAAATTACACAACTGAGAAAACAGGCTTTGAAATAGCTGGTTTTGTGGTAGAACAACAAAACGATGCACACAAAATGGTTGTTTTTTCCACTTTACTCATCAAAATCAACTCTTCTGTGAATGAAACCTGAAACTGTAGGTATTAAAGATGTCATTCATGACAAAAAATGAAAATCACATTTTGACGAAATGTTCACCCTCTCAATGCTGAGCGGGCCATTGCACAATAATGCTCAGCTCGACGTAATACCCTTTTTCGTGGAGCCGGTCACATATGAGAACCAAATGTCAGGCATTTTTTTTCAGGAGTCAACGCAATCACCAGAGAGCTTCCTGTCAGTGCCTCATGAATGGTAGAGATGTTTTTGTTGGAGTAAGGACAGGTGCGGGCTAGTACTGCCTGTGCGACAGGGCCTACCCAGTGGCAGCCAAAGCCCAGCCTTCGCTCACGGACAGTCTAAACAGTTCCAGAGTCTTCTTCACTTACTATTGCAATCTTCATCCGACTCGCTGTCCTCCTCCCTCGAGTTCTCCTTGTTGTCGTAATCGCTCAGGCTGTCCTCGTCCGAGTCCTCGGCGTGGTTGATGTCACCGTTGCACTGGCCAGCCACGGCGCTCGGATCAGGGGCGTCGCCGTCAGTGTCCGGTATGTTCTGAACGTGACTGGAAAAAGGAAACAAAATACGAAGGATATGTTTTGGACGTGTTTTTCATAAAAATACAATAATAAAAAGATACACATCACTGCCTATGGTGCTCTCATTCTGAAGAAAACGAAATCAGGCCCGTTTCTTAGAAAACAACACTCTGAAGAAAACAAAATCAGGCCCGTTTCTTAGAAAACAACACGACACGCAAACCATTGCAAACATCACCACAAAGCAACCATTGCATTCCGATTGCATGTGATTGTCATGTTTTCTCTGTAAAGTCCAGCCGAAGTGGTTGGCAATATTTACTGCTTGCAACTGGTTCCTGGCTATGTAGGCTAGGCAATTTAAATCAACTCCATTGACCCTTACTCCCTGGGCATTTCTGCTAGGATGTAACCTCAATCCTGCAAAATCCTCCAACTGCCTCCATGTAATAATAGCATATAGCCTCAATCCTCCAAAATCATCCGTTATTTCTTGAATGTTGTCCTTGGAGGGGTGGCCACTACCTCAATCCTGCACAATCCTCCGGCAATCACTGTCAGTATGTTAAGGCACAGCCAGTGACATCCTGGAGCAGTGCAGAGGAATTCAAGTATAATCTAGGCCTAAATTTGTGCACGGCTGAGCAAAAACAACACAAGATCCGGCCCAAGACCTTGACAGAGTGCATACTCTGTAATCACCAACACACTTTTGCCATGTAGCCTCAATCCTGCAGAATCCTCCATTTTGCAAAGAGGATTCTGGAGGATTTGGGAAGATTAGGGTTGACAGCTCTATGACATTAACCCTGTTATCATCTACGCTCAGTATAAACACTCTTGCTTAGGGACAGGACTCAAATCCACAACCTCCTGCTTACTAACGTTGCCGTTGGAAAGGAATTGTCTATATACCCTATGCCAGGCATCAGGGCCCAATTTCACGGTGCTGCTAAGCACAAAAATTTGCTAAGCACAAAAAAAGTCTGGCTTATAAAAGCAGGTTACCAGCCAAAACTCCATGTGATGTATATTGCTCGTGATTAGTATCCAGCTGTTGTTTGCTTAGCATGAAAATCACATGGAGTTTTGAATGGTAACCAGACCTTTATTGTGCTAAGCAAATTGTTGTGCTTAGCAGCGCCGTGAAATTGGGCCCAGCTTACCTGCCGAAGCCCACTCCTCTAGGAGCTTGTTGACCTGCATCAAAGCCCACGCTGCGACCGGTGTGGTTGACTGCTGGTGAACCTGGCAAGGTAACAAGAAGGGGAAAGTGGGAAAATTCAGACTTATCGATTGACCCAAATCAGAGGTGGTGCCATGCACGTATATAGGTGGTCTGCATGCACTCATTGTTCCTTTAAAGGGAATATACATCATTTGCTTTTGCTGTAATTTTCAGAAATGGATGGAATTGGGGGGTTGGAAATATATAGCAAGTGTAGTTACACTGACTTTTTTGAGGTTTTGGGTTCGAAAATGCTACAAAAACCAAGAAAAACAATCATTTTCCTGTAGTCTGGTTCCCTGACTCCATATAAGAAGAAACATAGCAGTTTAAATATATTGGGGAATTGTAAGGTCAGGGAACCAGTCTAGCTGGCTTGTACCCGTTCATAGGTGTGTAATCGATTGCAAACAAGTGCGATGGCCAATTGGGGCCAGTATTTGAAAAAAAGCCAGTTTTTTTCCAACGCTGGTCGGCCGACCAGCGTTGGAAATTGATACAAAAATACCACTTTTCTTGAAAATGACAGTATACCAGGTGCCATGATTTTACAGGATGCTTTACACTGTCATTCACTAACAGTCCAGCAAGGTATTTCAAAATGATTTGGTAGTTTTATTTTTTGATGTTTGCAAATGTTGTATTTTCCCTTTAACCAATAGGTTTTCAAGTAACACACTTCATATTAGGAATAAACCACACATGGAAAATGACTACATGTACATGTATAGATGCGCTGTAATAATTTCAAGGTTGAAGAAAGAAAATGACTGGAGGGGGTTTGAACCTGCGACATTCAGCTTGCCGTTCCGGTGCTCTGCCAACTGAGCCATCCAGTCCCATGTTGGCGGTTCCCCATTTGATGTTGTCAATGTCTCTGTTCAAGGGGTGTAGTCAGAAGCCATAAACCCGTATATGCCAAGCAGCCAGGGATCACGCCCAAATTAAGTCACGATGCTAGCAACATTAGCAGTGCTGCAAGCCTGGGAAATAGGCTTCTGACTAGCGCCCCTTGAACAAAGGCACAGACAAAATAGGATATCGCCAACACAGGGATGGATAGTTAGTTGGTAGAGCACCGGAACGGCTATCCAGAGGTCTCAGGTTCAAACCCTGCTCTAGTCAATAGCTCAGTTGGTAGAGCACCGGAACGGCTATCCGGAGGTCTCAGATTCAAACCCTGCTCTAGTCAATAGCTCAGTTGGTAGAGCACCGGAACGGCTATCCGGAGGTCGCAGGTTCAAACCCTGCTCTAGTCAATAGCTCAGTTGGTAGAGCACCGGAACGGCTATCCAGAGGTCTCAGGTTCAAACCCTGCTCTAGTCAATAGCTCAGTTGGTAGAGCAGCGGAACTGCTATCCGGAGGTCGCAGGTTCAAACCCTGCTCTAGTCAATAGCTCAGTTGGTAGAGCACCAGAACGGCTATCCAGAGGTCCCAGGCTCAAACCCTGCTCCAGCCAATTTATTCGTTTAACTTCAAGACTACTTCAAATTAAGAATTGCTGCTACATGCAAAAGTGGGGGTTGGACCAGGAACCTACAGAATACTGCAATATATAAGTTACATGCATTTGCCCCTCAATATCGTAAAAGTTCTTGATGCATTTTTTGTTGTCTTACCTGCACCGTGAACGTTGCCCATTCGCACCCCTCGCTTGGGTGGGACGGCCGGCGACCGGTTCTTCTTCGGCGGCACGGCCGGGCTGACCCTGCCTGTCTTCTCCGGCAGGGGAGGGGCTACGTCCTCTGGGGAGGTAGGCGCCGGTGGGGTCACCAGGCTGGGCACCGGCTCGCCGGGTACCGGGGCCAGGTCCGGGTCGGCGTTGTTGATCTCCACTTTGGTGACCTCGGTCGACCCGGCGGCTGTTTGGTCCGACATCTCTGCTGATGGTTGGAAAAAGAGAGAATGAATGATCGAATGACCGTTACACTAGTTAAAGCAACGAGCATTGATTTGGAGCACCTGATTTCCATTCAAAAAGTTTGGCAAAGATCAGTCCCAAAAGTAAAGGCAGGTCAACACTATTTTTTTTTTAGTCATGAAACCAAGGATTCCTCAAAAGTGCCCAAGGTAATGTAGCTGGCAAACTGGAGTAACCTGTAGAAAGATGACCATGAAGAAATTACAGTTTTAGAAGTTGGAGGAAAACCCCAGAAGAATAGTCTGAGGAAAACCCCAGAAGAATAGTCTGAGGAAAACTCAAGGAAACAGGTAGTAAACGAAAAAAAGAAAAGAAAACCCACATGTGGACCAGGGCTGGAATCGAACCTGGGCCATATAGGTGGAAGGTGAGGGAAGAACCACTGCCCCAGCCTGACTCCCCATCACTGATCACTAGCAATGACATTGACTAAGATAACACAAAACTGCAACTCGAGAAAGGTACATGTATGTATGTTACCTTAATACTAACACAGCTTGCTTGAAAAGAGAAATCGTAGAATCGAGACAAACCTTCCACAGCGAAGAAATCTCACAGAAAAGGGTCCGTATCTCGCCCGGCAAAGACGACAATCTGAGATCTCTCTCAGCACAGCGCGATGTTATCAACAGGAGGTCTGCCCAAACTACTACGCACAATTCACCGGTACGACTTTTGTTTGATGTTCCAATTTTCCCTTTCGTCTTACACACAGACACACATCCAATCATGTAAAACCGTGCCGGTGACGTACATTGGCGATAATATCTGATCAAGGGATTTCTTTTTTTTTTTTCCCCCTGCCGGTCTCAAAATCTTCCAAGATCTCAACTGACTGTCTTGCTAGCAAGTCTTACGGTACATTGTAAATCGATCCTAGCTTTGCTTCTGATTTCACACCGTCACTTTCTGTACCTTCTACTTTACGTTTGCCCCCCCCCTCCCCCCCCCCCCCCCCCCCCCCCCCCCCAACGAGAAAGAGAGAGAGGCAGAGAAAGATGCACTACCAGAGTCTCAGAGAGTGTCAAATGCCCGGAGTGCAGATCAAGTGATACAGAGTCAGCATCGATGGGGGGTTTAGGGAGCTCAATGTGAGAGCCTATCGGAGGAGACGGTTCGCAGAGAAGAGCGAGTGGAAAGTCTTAAGTTTGATCCAGTCGGTCAAGGGAATAGATGAGATGTCGATCCCTGGTGATTATGACCATGACGACACTTGGTGTCACAATAAGGAAATGACAATAACGACGATGACAAAACAAGGATGATGGCACATCTTGATGACTAAGTCCCAACGAAAGCCCTGATTCATCGCTTCGACAATGAAAATGGTTTGAACTAGTCAGACATGATATTGACCTACAGGAGAAAAATAGAAAACGTGTCCTGCCGACCCCCCCCCCCCAAAAAAAATGTGTAATGTCTACAGCACAGAATGCTGACAAGCAGGACATAAACGGGGGAGGAAGGTATTCACAGTAAACTCAAAAGAGTATACAATGAATGGAACATGTTAACAATGCAAAGTGCCTGCTTAAAATGACTGCTATGAGTTGGGGCCTGACTGTCACATGACAATGCCCTGCGGCCATTACAGTTTGCTCCAGTCAAAAAAACATATTGAAATACACATGCAATTGTATGCTACAATGTACGTACAATGTACTACTACATGTAAATGTACACGTTTGTTTATGGTGTAAATCGAGGATTTTCTTTTGTTCCTCTGCCCTTTTCCTTTGTGTGTACTTGAACTTTTTCACAACAGCTCTCATTGGTTTTGTACACGTTTTCCAACCGAGGAGTCCTCCATTCAGTTTCTGACCTCGATTCACCGATGATGTTGCAATTGTGTGTCCTCGATTTACACCATAAACAAACACAGTTGTACACGTATTACTTCGGTTCACTAAAATTATTTCATTACCAAGAAAAATCCCAGGTTTCATCTAAAATTTCCCATCATTTTTCAAAATCAACAAAAATGTATTACACTATTCCCAACTAATTTCAGAAAACAAACAAACATTTTTGTTTAACTTATCTAAAAATAACATACATCCTCAAGAAATTAATCATTGATCTTTTTTTCAGTTCGTCCACAAAACTTTCAGTCAAAAAGTTTGTCAGACTGGGAGCCTACACTAGGATTAGAGCTGAAAAAATAATATCTTCTCTCAAAAAACTGTGCTCCCAGCAATTCACACAAACTGCATATGCAATACTTTAACCCTAACTCCCTAGGCCTTTTTGCTAGGATGTAGCCTCAGACGTCTGATTCATAAAAAAAAAGGACAGTAGATTGCGAGTTTTGCTCCTTGAGGCGTAAAATAAAAACCGACTTCAACGTTTTCTTGACGACCACTCCGAAGATGACGACAGGGATATGATGAAATCCATCAACATACGACCAGCACGTTTCCCCATCCCGCTAGAGAACACCGATCCCGTAACACAGGCCTCGCTTATATCAAACAAACGCTTCAATTTCAAGTCGTTCAAGCAGGAGAGGAGAGGGGAAAAAAACGAAGCAATTTCTGACGCACTTTTGGGAAACATGGGACACAAAGCGAGCATCGGTTTATAGCGACCCGCGTAGCGGGAGTCTGGGGGGGGGGGGAGAAAGGGATTTGTCGAAAGACTGGGATGGAGTGGTACGATTTTAAAGACTCAATTACATCCGGATGACGCACATGCGTCAACGCGCAATTCGATATTTTAATAGTTACCTAATTTCTTCTCAGAAGTGACGAGCACTCTGCTAATCATGCAAGCTTTACACTTGTGCTTGAAGCATTCATTTTCTAAAAAATTGTATTCTAAAGAAATTCTGCGAACACTTATCTACAATTTCCCGACGGCTGAGTTTTTTGCTTTGTTATCTGATAGGGGGAAAATTTTACCTGTACAGTCTGAAAAAAAAGTGTTTCCTGTTTGAAGAAAATGATACATATCCAGTAAAAACATGCACGCAACTGGGAAATTTATACAAAGAGGGGGATTCATAGCTTTACAAGTTTTTATATCGTGTTTTTCAATATTTTTTCCTGGAGGAAATATTGTATTCAACCTCAAAGCAACTCCTCAACTATACAAAAACTACTTAAGAAACCATGGCAATGTAACAGAATATCTTGACCTATATAACACCTTTGGAAATACAGAGATCTTGACACAGTACTTCAAAGGAGTCTGATTTTGCTTGAAATTTTGCAATAGATTCATTTGTAATTGAGATGTAATTGTCCAAAGTATAAATAATGTTTTCAATCAAGTTCCAACAGTGCAAGGGATGGTCTGCTATTGTTCATCTTGATATTAATGTGAAAATGACGCAAAATAAGGGTAAGAGCACTCCACAATTTTTTAATTATACCGAAAAGCATTTTATAACCTCATCGTCTAAACGTATGTTTAAATTAACAGTCCTTTCAAACCAATCATCAACCTGGGTCCAAAACATAGATGTAATCTCACACCTACAAAATAGATGAATAAGTGGGTTTTTTTTTCACTATTTATTGGCATGAGTGTAAAGTGAAAAACAAGAAAATCAGCTGATCCGAGAACAGTTGTACGCCCACTAAAAGTAGATTTCTTTGGCCATGTAACTATCTATTGATTGCAATTTTATTGCAAGTTATCATGGAATCTCAGGAGAGTGGGGAGAATTTAGTAGGTTTTTTTTTACCTGATGTAGGGACATAATCCTGTCCAGTTGAGGTATCAAATGAATTTGCAGCCTCAGGATTTGTTGCTGTCACATCTAGAAGAGAAAAAAATGCAAGAAATATATTTTTTTAAATTTTTTTTAATTTCTATTTACATTCCCTAGATAGTTGGAGTCGGCTTTGTGAAGAAGCTCACCCTGAATTAAATATATAATCAAATCAATTATTCAAAGAATTTCATGTCCTGGTTGTCGACGTTTTCTGATGATGTGATTTTACTCTTTATCAATATTTCTTAATTTCAACCAAGGCTGACTTAATTTAATTAAAATTACCCATGCTTTCTAATCCTGTCTGAAAAAAAAATGTTGGATTTGATGCGAATTCAAAAAAGGCGTTTAGCACCCCAAAAAAAAAAAGAAAAAAAAAAGCCGTATCACAAATACGTTTGTTACTGTCCAGAGCTGTATCTTGGCTAAAAAAGCCGCGAGATGTGTGCGCTGTCGCCATAATTCATGTACCTGGACCAAGCTAGGGCTGTCTCGACCTCATGTTTGATTACGGGCAAATTGTTCAGAGACTCACGCTTGATTAAAGCTGTCTCCGTTCTGCCGTGCTGCCGCACGTTTTTGTCTCTACCCTCCGGAAGAGAGCTGGGGGGGGGGGGGATGGGAGCTGTCCCGATTTTGCCATCATCGATGAGGAAACGGCTAGTGATGGGTGAGGGAATGCGACGGCCGGCACAAATTTAACCATTGATTTTTATTTGTTGGTCTTTGGCGTCCTCTCCATTTTTTTTCTGCTGTACAGCTTGTGAAGCAGTATTAAAGTGGAGTGCGTCCTTATTTTGTTCATGTACGGGTACATGTGTCATATAGCATTTAAGTTGTAGCGGTGAATAAATAATACCCAAGCTCATGGACCAAATGAAAAAATACACAACAGAGAGAAAGCCAAGACAGATTAAAAAACTGACAAAGGATAAATAATAACTGTAAATATTAAGTTATGAAACAAAATCAGTTTCAGTTTTTTTTCTTCTAAATTTCCAAAAAGTGTTCAGACTAATAGGGTAAAATAGGGGTAAAATTTGCTTTGCCGCCCCCCACCCCCGGAAAAAATCCTGGCGACGCCCATGCTTGTATCCAAACCATTTACTCAAAAATCCATTCATCAAAAATTATTCTAAGATGCTTGCAGCATTTAAGAGTTTACATGCTTTACTGTATGTCCAAATTTGGTTCAAAGCAGGCAGTGCAGTTGATGGGGAGTTTCCCTAGGAGGTTGTAGAATTTCCACTTCAGGTGCAGTTCAAATACATTTAAAGTGGCGTGGTGCAAATGGGTCCCACAGCATGTACATTACGTAGTTGTGTTTGTGATATTTGGAAATGCCCTGCAGCAGACTCGAAATAAGGATAACGGGAAAGAATGTTGCAACCTGACGCTGCTTTTTTCCTTCATATATCATCTCAATGAAGGTCAGTAAGTGCAAAAATGATGATAAGACATGAATCTGGGACTGACAAATATTTCCAATTTTGTTAGGAAATACTTTAAGAAAATTGTCTTGACTCTCCATAGACTTTGTACACAACCGCTGAAGTAGCGTCAGGTTGCAACATTCTTTCCGGATAATGTGCACATGCCATTTACTAGTTTCCTCAAGTGTATACATGTTCATGTGCACATGTACATTGGAGACTTCATGTAAACGCCCTGTAAATGTAGCTTCTATTCCAAAGATTCTACTTTCTCTGTGTGTCAAACTTCGGCAGACGCGAAAACGCAGTGCCTATTTGTGTGGGCGTTTATATTTAAATCAGAAGACTCTGAGTCGGAGGTCATAAGGTCAACCTTGCATTGGCCTTTCTCTGACTCTGCATCTGAGCGGAGAGGCAGTGACACAGCGTTGGACTATAAGGATGCATCCAAATCACTTGGCTGTGGCTTAGCAATAGCACACAGGTCTATGGAAAGTGGTTGCAGCCGCTTCCATAGACGCAAGCGTGATTGCAAGCCGTAGAGCCAAGTAACTCGGACGTGGCCTGATATACATGTAGACCTCCAATCCCACAGATTAAGAACGACAGGTGCGTCTAAGTAGCTAAATCCCTCGCTAACACCCCTACAGGGTTTGCCTTCCGAAGCCTGTACTCAGACAGCGCGGTGCGTAATGCCGAGTGGGAACTTTCTTGCAAGTCAGATCGTAATCACACACAGTGTGTCGGGAGGGCAGCGTTTCGTCAGTCTCCAGCTTAATGCACCGGGCATTTTGGCATCTCACTTTGCTGCACGCTAATTTGCAGTTTGGTGGTTATTTACTCGCTAGTTGCATGATATTAGCATATTGCACGAGGCTGCGGACGTGTACGTGTGCGTGTCTGTTACGCTCCGACAGAGTGCAGCTATGCACTAAAGCATGAACGTGGCTGCACAGACCGTGGCCTTTTTAATCTTGGCAATCTATTATTGAAAAAACATTTATGCATGCTGTCAAGATGTCTTTCCCAGAAAAGATACAATCTGGCTTTTATTTTTTGTTTTCATGGAATGTGATGTTGTGGGAAATACATTATCCGGTACTAAACTGTTTAGGTTTTAGCTCCGCGTTCATATCTGGATCCCAATTCATCTGCTGTTGAACAAAATATATCCCTAGCGAATTTAAGGGCTATGAATATTAAGTTTTTGTCAATCCTGATCAAAAAATTCTCAATAAGAAACAAAGCAAACCGGCACTGCCAAAGTCAAGTATTTGATCAGAACAGCGAGACTACAAAAGAACCTTGTCACCAGGGGTAATATCTGCTCACCTGTATCAGCTGGAGTGGGCACCTCTTGCGTCGGGGAATGAGGTTGAGTTGAGGAATCCGGGACCTCATTACCAAAAGCTAAAATCGAGAAAACAAACGGTAAATAAATGTATGCGTTACAGGTGCAAAAAAATTATTATACCAAGTTAAATTTGATATATAAAAAATTCTCTTCAAGTGCTGAACATCACTGATCTAAAAAAAATGACTGTGTATTTTTTCAATAATTGAATCAAAATAATGCCATTTGGATATTGGTTGGATGATCAAATATTTGAATATTGACACAGTCCAAGACAAAACAGGAGTGTTTCTGTACCTTGGATGGGCTCCTTGCCCGGCTCGGCCTTCTTCTTCCTCTTCCATTTCCAGGGCTTGAAGAAGCGCGGTATCGTGGACTTCTTGGACTTGCGCTCCACGGGCGGCGTCATGGTGCCCTTGACAGCGGGCGTGGCATTGTCCGACGAGTAGGAGACTTGAATGTCGTCCGTCGAACCTGCGAAGAAAAAAAGACACAACGGTTGGAGAAAAGACGGAAAAGAAAACGAGGGCCTCTCAGACAGGAAGTCCAAGAATAGACAGATGATCGGCGGATGGTCGTTATGGCAACAGAGGAGATGGGAAATTGTGCGAGCGGTGGAGTGAGCAATAAATTTCATTACGTGCTAATGTAGCGGCTTGATCAACATGATCATGGGCTCAATGATACCGGATATACGTAAACACACAGCTGTACATGTAGACATTGTTATGAAAAACAATTTTGTTGGTACCGGTGTCATATGAAAATCGGACTCGTAAGAAAATCGGACTCTTTGTCCCTTTTATTGGTTAAACCCTCTCACGTGACCGGTCCCTCTAATTATCTATGCATGAGCATGCGCAATACCACCAATGAGTCCGTATTTCATAAAACCTAAACTCATGCTATTCCAGTCCTAAAGTTATTGGCCGAATAAAAGCCCTGCAGATATCTCAGCAGTAAGAATTATAGGAAAAATGCTCTTATAATCTTGTGAGTGAAGTGCCATGCTGTTATGTTAGTTCTTAAATTAGTTTAGTAAAAAAAAATTAGGAAAAATGTGGGCTTGTGTGAAGTACACACATCCCTGTATTGACTCGGCAGTCAAATGGTCAAGACTCACGAGGCCCCCTCTAATGGAGAAACCATTGTACATGTACCGACCGGTATGCTATTGGACAAAGCAACTGCTCCTTGACAGATTATCTGAACAACAGCTAGCACAATGCTTTCGCCATTGAAGGGGGCCTCCGTGATACAAGTTTAGACAGCATGCCGGAATTGGTCTATACACAGTATAGCCCTAACCTCCCCAACTCCATCAAAATCCATCCCCCCATTTTGGTGGATTTTGGGGGACTTGGTCCTGCAGGCCTGGTTTGACTAAACATTGATGGAGTATGATGGACTTGGGACTGGAGGCCTAAAGCAAAGCATGCATTGGAAGCAGTGTGATTGATGGATTTTGGTGGACTTGGTGCAGTACTTGGTTAAAGACAGTAGGGAGTTAGGGTTAGACGTACAGTATTACAAATAATTCAGCCCATTTGCTAGAGATCCACAATGAACTCAGTGATTAATTCCATTATTATGAGGTTTAGTACCACATATTACATGAACATTTTATAACTTTAGTGATACACGTACATTCTTGAAGCAGAGCTCTAAATTTTTTATTTCTCTAGGCTATAAACCTTATTTGCACAGACTTCCTTCTTTTTTTGGTGGAACTGGCAAATTGCAACATAAAGGCAACATTACTGACGGATGACGAATTCCGATGAACAGCAGTGCAGCACCGAAGGGAGCAATTGGTCTTTCCGACTTCCGCTATGGAATGTAGACTAAGTGAATTTCAAGCTGTTTCTGAGCGTTTGGTCGCAAACATTGTCACATGTCTTGCATGCATTGCGATGCATATTATTATTATTTTTTTTACGGTACATGTACATCGTACATGTATAAACACTTGATTTTTGCTATATTTTATTCCTTATTGTGTAACATGCTGTCTATGAATGTGCAAGATTTGAAGTTACCTGTAAAACCAACAACATGAAAGAGAAAGGTACATGTAGCTGTGCGTGTTCATCTTTTCAAACCGTGGACGAAAAATACCAGAGAACAAAAGAGAACAATATTGTCCTCGATTCCCAGCATTCGTCCGCGATTGGGGTCGTGAACACACGTTTGCGTGGATGAGTTTGTCTTACAGTCACTATGTGGACATGCCAACAAAAGATGTCCACATAATGCAGGTTATGTTGATGTTATGTGGACTAAGCCAGGTCCACATAACGTTTCACCCTCTCTGGAAAACAGGTTTAGGCCTATAAGGAGCATTTTGGGGTTAGGGTTATCATCGCAGGATGAAGAGAAACATTCAAGGAAATCAAAAACAAATTTGGGGTTGAAATAGTTTTTACACTGGTTTAAGTAAAGTTTATTGTACCGAGTTTTCTTAACTACACGAAAACAAACGAATGTCCACATAGCGTTGTAAAACAAACATGGGTGTGTGTGTGAATAGTACATGTGCATCAAGTGAGTTGATCGTGAAAATATATGGGTTTGCGAGATGAGAGGGGGGGGGGGGACGGAGGGGAACATTTCCAAGTCCTCTCCCCACCCTGCAGACCAGAACCCGTCAAAATCACTGACGTAGAGCTCACCACATAGATCTAGACATTAAATTATCTATCACCAAATGATTTACAACTTCCGCACGTGTTCATACGCACGACGGTTTTTCCTCCGAGCGTGCCCCGGGCACGCATCGTCGCCAGAGCACCGCTCAAGAAACATTCCAACGGTTGCCAAGCTTGAGAAAATTAATAATCTTTGAGACGACATCGACATTCGTAGGCCAGGGCATGCAGGGAGCGTGGCAGGGACCCGGGTAATTATACGTTCATGTTAGTTCTGTGGGGTTGCTGGGAAAACGACAGCGACTTGAGCCGGGAGCGACCCAAATAATTAATGAAATCCCCCCCAGAAGCATTAGTGTCAATAAGGGCAGGGAATCTGTTGAGGTGGCAGGGGAAAGACTGGGACTTAAATGGTACGTCCAAATCAAAATAAGCTTCCAATTTTAATAGGGAAATGGGATGACATTTAGAACGGGGAAGGTGAAAAGGTGGAAATCAAGACAGATTAGTTAACCTACATCTACTGAACGTGCACATGTATTCGCATAGACAAACAAGTACTGTGCTGAGACAATGTAATGTATTAATTACATGTATGCATGTGAAATAAACTATCAAGTAAATTTGTAAGTTGTATACTTGTGCTCTGAAGTACATGCGTAATGTTCAATTATTTTAACTTTTAGTTATGGAATGATACAGATAATTACGCAATGTACATTTACGTATTGCATAAAATATAAAAAAAATAATAAATTAATAAGATCTAGTTTTCCTGAGGTAGGATGGCTCTGTAGAGGTGCTAGTCACTTGTTCCATCTTGCCACTCACTGGCTTAATCCTTACGTATTCTGGCATAAAACTCTTTTAAAAAAAAACTTATTGAAATTGTAAATTCTCTGTATTTTTATCTAAGATTCTGTATATCTTGTAATTTTTTTTTATATCAGCCAGTGGAGAAGTGTAATGAAAAAAAATACTTCTGGTATCAATAATTTACTATGTTTGTGGGAAAATATTTGTACTGAATGCATTCTTAGAGCATGTGACATGTCTATAATTGATAACGCTTCATGGTCACTTTCTTGATATTTCTGTGGCTGATTTATTTCACCCTAAAGTTGCATTTTCACCCTTTGCATTTAAAGGGAATATACAACATTTGCTTTTGCTGCAATTTTCAGAAATAAAAGGATTTGGAGGATAAGTATGTTATAGCAAATATTGTTAAACTGACTTGTTTCACGTTTTGGGCTTGGAAAACCAAGACAACCAATCTTGTTCTTGTAGTCTGGTTCCCTGACCCCACTTTAGATGAAACGGAGCAATTTATAGACTGGGGAGAATTGTAAGGTCAGATAATCAGTCTATCAGTCTCACAGGTGTGTAATCAAATGCAAAGAAAACACGTAATAGCTAAATATGACAAATTAGGAGCAGATTTTGAACATATCCAGTTTTCTCCAACGCTGGTCGGCCGACCAGCGTTGGAAAAATACAATTGTTCTTGAAAATGTCAACACACCAGGAGCCACAATTTTACAGGATTCTTTAGACAATCCAGTAAGGTATTTCGTGATAATTTGATCATTTCGTTTTTTTGATGTTTGCAAATGTTGTATCTTCCCTTTAATTGTTGGAGCTTCACACAGTTCGGGTTTTACTACAGGTCTGTAATCCAGAAATGACATGTACCGGTTACAACAATACAAAGGATTTCACACATTGCTAATTAATGCTATACACAACGTGTACAAGTCGTATGTATTCTTGTACATGTACATGTACAATGTATACGTACATGTACAGGATATATAGGGGCCTACTTTGTGCTGTGTTATATTTTCGTAACCCCATCTGTTAGTGAAATATCGCATGCATTAGCATTCAAGACTATCTCAACACTAAACATGTATCAATATCGCATGCATTAGCATTCAAGATAGACTGAACACTTAAACATGTATCAATATCGCATGCAATAAACAGGCCTGTAAATTATCTGCACAACGTTGACAAGGAATAACAAACATTATTGATTTATATATTACAATCACAGCTTGTGTTCAGCATGAGTTGGTGCTGTGTAAGGAGTGGCTAAATGATGTTGAACAGTATACTGGTACATCATATTCCGGTATGGCTGTACATGTACATGTACAGTACATGCACATTTCTGTACATCTGTACAAGTGCACACTACATGTACATGTACATTCAGTGACATTATGTTCTAGCATGGAGCTATCCTTTTTATAGCTCCACAGTTCTATGCTGTACGTGTACATGTACAGGCCTTTCCACATTAGGCCAAAAATAAATATATAGTTCTGCTTCCGGTTTTCCTACCTACCCTATTCTGACAGCCCCTACCCTAATTTTTGTATTGGAAAAATGAGGGAAAAACACCCAAAACCATCACTTTATACCTTTTACCCTTGACTACATGCAGACGCCTCCATATAATTGTACACACACAAAAATTGCCCCCCCCCCCAAAAAAAAAAATCCCTACCTTCCTACCCTATTTTCGAATGCCATGTAATCGGAAGCAGAACTATTTTTTTTTGGCCTTATTGACTCATCTACATGTACATGTACCGGCAGTAGGACTACCGGTACCTGTGTTGAAATCAAATAGGGTCCACCGTAAGCAAAATCACTGCCCATATCAAACACAGTAGACAAGGGCACTGGAGTGCACAAGGCTGGGCTGTAGATTTATGATTTTCGACCCTAGGTAGAGCTTCTCAACCCTGGTCAGGGTTGGACCCGTGTAGAGCGCCGGACCCATGTAGGAGTCGTGTTGGATTCTTGCTTGTGTGA